GGTCATTATATGTCACCGAATGAATGACAGGCACCCAAAAGCAGCGTTGCGAAGGAAACCGCGTTGAAGTGACGCGCTGCTCTGTGGACGTCCACGCGAGATGACTCGACTCTTATTAATACGCCTCCGTCTATTGACATTATTTTCTGTCAGGAACAACTGTCTGTGTCGATAGTTTCCTGTGTGTATAATATTTAAGGACATGAAAAAGAAATTACAAGCTGGTTTCCATATTCAAAATAAGAGTTAAATAAGAGTTAACAATAAGATGTCCTCTCCTTTTGCAGACAGTTTACCGCTTTAAAACACAACACACGCGCACACACTCACGCCGCAACTGTTGGCTCCCAGATTACCGTAATGACTGGAGACAACACGACCACATCAAAACAGACATTATAATATAGACCATTTCACAAGATGTAAACAACACTGGTCCAGAAGCACTTCCTGTTTCAGTTTTTTAACACTACATAAAAGCTGGGATAAAATACAACCAACAGAACATTTAAAACTGAATCAAAAAGTTAAACAAACATCTTTAAGATGTTTTCTTTACATGTGAAATAAAGAAAACAGTTACAAACTGAAACAGGAAGTGCTTCTGGACCAGTGTTGTTTACATCTTGTGAAATGGTCTATATGTATACAAAATAATACATTATACATATACATAAAATAATACATACACATACTATTATAAAATAGTATATTACTATCTGTCAGTCTCCCTCAGAGCACAGTATACTCAAAAATGGCTGCATTTCATGCTTAAAGGTGAGATTTGTAAAAAAAAAAAAAAAAAAAACTCAAATATTGGACAATTTTACACACAAATTTGACTTCAGCTCATTTGAAATATTATTAATATGCACATGACATTGCCTTTCTTCTGCTAGCTCGCTATTGCTAGCCTCTCCGAAAATTGCCTTAAATCCTTCCTCAGCATCTCCAACATCTAACATCATTGTTTGTCTATTGAAAATGTAAGAATTTTCAAGCATATCTTTGTTGTCTGACTCCATTAACTCTATCAAACATTGTGAAAAAGCCTGTTTGAGCATGAAAAATGAGAATATCTCAGCATAAGCAACTAAATCTGCTGAAGTCACCTTCACCATCTATAACAGGCATACTCATTAATAATGTCACAGGTTTGCAGAAAGGTGCTGTCCAGGGTTCTGATCAACCGCTGAATGTTATTTCTGATTTCTTGGGCTGTGTTTAATTCGCAGTTATGTTACATTTCCTTCTTTACATCAATGGAAACACCAAATTTCCAAAATGTGCACAAGATGCACTTATATAATCAAACCTAGTTTCTAAATGGGCATCTAGAGCACAGAATGACCCTAAAGAGAGACAAACCCAACATGATGCCAGAACATGGTTACAAAAGAGCAACAGTTCAGCCAAAGGCTAAGCAAATGCCTTTCTAAAAATTGCACTTGTTATTGTTACATTTCATAAATGATGATCTGAATTGTCAAAGTACTTTAGGGTCAAAGCAGTCTCCTCTCATTAACATTACTGGAGTGCTCGAAGACATGGTTTTGTGTCTGAATAAAGCCATAATTTGATGCTGGCTTCAACTGTAGTTGCTCTAACAGGTTTTCTGCTTTCTGTCTTATTGGCTGCTTTGACCCAAAACACTGTAGTTATAGCTGAGACTAAAGAGATTGGTTAGTGTTTTGGACATGTTGAGAAGACTCTGTTTTCTGTGTTGCGTAAGTAAATCCACTTTGCTTCATTCATATGATTGACTACAAGTGCACAATATCTTTAGATGCACAAAGAAGAGAAGAATGTTGTCTATTTCTCATTACAATTAACAGTGCAGAGTTATGACCGAGAGACATTATTAACAGAAAGTGATATTAAAGTGTGATAGGCTAGTAAGTTTAGTTCTCAACAAACACCATTAATGCCACAAGAGTGGAAGATCCATTTTCAGAAGTCCACACAAAAACATTTTACTTTGAAATATGTTGCCTACAAAAAAAATAAAATAATAATAATTAGCCATGTACGACTCAAAAATATTTCTTTATTTGAAATAGAGCACAAAATACACCATTTTTACCCAACTACCAAACCAAATTATGGTCACTCTGAATATTAAATGAATAGAAAAAAACAACAAAATGATGTAATCCTGTAATAAAATCTAATTCAAAATGTTTTTTTAATGATTATATTAAACAAACACCATCATTCATATTTCCACTAACACAGAGAAGTGAAGAATGTTGTCTATTTCTCTATATGATAAAAAGTGAAAAGTTGCTCTGTATGTGACTGATGGCGATTACTGAATTTGTAAAATTAATAACAAAAAGTGATATGTTTCCTCCTCTAAGGCTTCCTCGCTGCCAGGAGGGATGGAGATCCATTAGAGTAGCTCACTTTTGTGCAATGTTCAACTCTCATATTCAACAATTCCTGAAATGAGAATAACAATTCATTTTCAATGATTTGTTTTAATTTTGTTTTAAATTAAAATTTTCTTTAAATCATTTCGGTGGTTTTATTATAATACTGTATGAAAGCAGAGAAAACAGAGTGAAATCAGGGCACAAAAATAAACAGTACATTTTTGTATTTTCTTTTTTTTTTTTTTTAAATGATAACTAGTGAATCTGATTTTATTTCAGTGAACAAAGGTGTGGGATGAGGGAGCTGATTTCCAAGGTTATATTATTACAAGGTTATTTTAGTAAAAATTAATTTAATTATTTATTACATTGAGATTTAATATATATATATATATTGAATTAGTTTATTTTTTCACTTAAAGGTGCTGTATGTAATTACTAAATGAACATGAGAAATGTTGCTTTGGCAACTAGCAGAAATTAAATAAGTTTAAGAGTTTTTTTAATAATTTATTTTGTATATAGTCTATCTTAATGATAACTTTTGTATGGTATTGGTTTACTAAACCCTACGTTGCATAATGGAGTTTATTTTTTCTGTTTCATCAGATGTGCCTGATTTCAGTTTCTATTCTTTGCAATACAATAAAACTTTCATGAAATCATAAAAAAAAATCAACTTGTCTTATTTCTTGTATATCAACAAATTTAGTTTGAGATAGGAAAAACTCTTGTTCAAAAGCTCAGTTCCCAGCCTGTTTACAGTGTTGATTTTGGGATAAATGGCAGGTGGTGACATGTTTGTGGGATGAATGACCTGTGTGAGCTGCGGTTTGTGAACACAATGCACGTAAGGCTTCGGTTCACTCTGGATCTCTCCACCGAAGGTCTTATAGCAGATCCCACAGTCAATCAGAGGCTACAGCAGACAAATGAGAAACACATGATCAATCATATTCATGCTAACACATGTAAAGCTCAATTTAAGACTGTTGAATTGGGTTAGACTAGAGCGAAAGGAACAATATAATCATGTGAAGTGCATTTCAAGTTATGAAAAAACTTACTCTGTCATTTCTGAAAGCACATTTAGTCAGGTTTGCAGTTCCTTTAGGGCATTTGGTGGCTTTGAGGTAGAAGTGATGGTAGATATAACTCACTCCAAACCCACCCTAGAATAAACCGGGTTACTGAATATCATAACTTCGGTGTACGTTAAAAACTCAGCATTTGTTTAAAAAATGTTTCTGTGACTCAGACTTGAACATCTCCAAGTAATGCAATTACCTTAATAATGTAAAAAAAAAAAAAATAGCAATTTGAATAGCTAAACAACTTTTAAAAGTATAAAAATAAATGATAAAGATCTGCAAAGAAGCTAAGTTATAGAAAGCTTCACATTATAAAGTGTTGCCTTTTAATGACACTATTAAAACATACAAAAAGTAGGCTAAACATTTACTTGAAGCTGATGTATGAAGCATTTAAAGGTATATTGATTGAAATGCGTGTAATGCCTTATAATTCATTTGTATGTTCTTTTCAAGTGAAGATACTTACATCAATGTCAGATTTGGCCAAACTCTTGAAGAAAAGAAAAACGTTCCTGATTGTCTGGTGCGAGTTGATTTGTTCCACAGCCAGTTCGACGCCTTTCCTGTAATTATCTGGAAGTTTGTTGAGATCCTCCTGCGCCTCCGACGTGCCAAGAAAAACTCCAGCGCCGACCAGGACGAGGAGCAGAATCACAGCCATCTTCACACAATCCTGAAAACCCCTCAGATGGGCTTATCTTTAGGTTATAGAGTTATGTGCCGCAGAAATTCAGACGAATGTAAACACTGAGATGTGTTGTCTAATCCCAGTACACGAGGGAGTGTGAGGCGAGAGGGAGAGATTGCGCAATGATGGCATTTTTGTGGGGTGAGTCCTCTTCCTTTGTGTCTTTGTGTGTTTTTGCTTTCACACACAAGAGGGAATTAATGTGAAATCATGCAGTCCGAGCGAGCGGACTGCCATCCAGTGGAGAACAGACACTAAAAACTAGGACTTTGGAGAGTTTTGGAGAATAGGTCACCTTTTTTTTTTCTTTTTTTTTTTAAATAACAGTCTCATCCCAAGACGTCAGTTGACGTCTTGGGACGTCTTTTGACCATACGTCAACATCCGCCGTTTTAGGGTACCTTTTAACGTCAGTTACATGACGATCCTGGGACGTCATTACCTTTAACGTCAGTTAGGTGACGGGGTAGGTTTAGGTCTGGGGTAGGGGGTTAGGATCCGATAACGTCATCTTACCGACGTTAAAGGGTACCCTAAAATGGCGGATGTTGACGTATGGTCAAAAGACGTCCCAAGACGTCAGTCATATGACGTCTTGGGATGAGACTGCTTTGTTTTAAACAAAACTGCTATCATCATGAGTTTCAGGCCAATTCTAATCTAAATACGAGTCAGTGAACTGTAAACCGAGCCGGATATGATCCAGTTTAACGGTCTACAAAAGGAAAAACAATGGTCTTAACAGAAGAGATTTCACTTGATATGTTTGTTCATTATATTTATTTGTATCTATTCATCTATGCAGTTACAAAGACAAAAGAAATCCAATGAACGTTCTTCAGGTCATTTGTAGGTGTATATTTTTATTATTTTAGAAAATAGTCATTTTCAATGTAATGCATTACAACAAGGTGTCAATAATGCATTAGTTATGCAATATAACATTCATTAACCTTTGTTGATGTTAGTAAATAATAATTTCATGTTCATGTTAACTCACATTGCTAACAGATACAACTTGTAATATATTAGTAAGTAGAAATTATAGTTAACTAAGATGACTTAAGTATTGTTTATCATTCGTTTATGATAAAAGTACACTATGTAACTGTTGGCCCTCTAGCGGTTGAAAAACAAAACCTCATGCATTTTGTAGAAGAACATTGTTTTGGCTGTGCTTTGGCGCTACATGTGGCAATTTATCCATTTAATAAAATACTTTACTCACCAGTTGAGTAATAAAAACGCAATCTTAGCGTCACTTTTACAATATTTCAAATCCATCAGTTCTGACCATCTCCAAAAAGCCAAGCCAATGTTGATTCTGGTTTCATTACGAACTCTGTCACGTTTTCTTTTTGCCAGCAGACTCTCCTCTATTCGGCCTACCAGTACATAGTGTACCTTTCACTAGATGTAAATGTAGTTAGTTTTACAATAAGGTTTTGTTAGTGTTACCTTTTTAAACAAGACCCTAAAATCTTGAATTACAAAATGCATATGAAGGAATATATACTGATATGCATTTGTAATGCCTTATTGCATGTTCTTTACTTGTAACCAATACATTTGAACATTTACCTGATCATGTGTTATAATGCATATCCATTTAAAAGCAATTTAAAATGTGTTCGTGTATAACCGTGAAAACCTAAAGTTAAGAAAAGTTAGGGTCACAGTGATGGTTGCTTTTGATAATTACAGTGGTAAAATGTTACATTTACTCTCACTTCAGTTCTTGTGAAGCAAATATGCGTGAAGAAAGAGCTGATTTGGCACTAAGGGCCAGACAAAAAACAGTTAAGATCATTGACACTGTGTTCTTCAAACCCTGAACATCCGAATGTCTCCAGCGGTTCATGAAGTTTTGACGGCCAGCAGGGTGGGGGATCCGCTACTGTAACCCATCTTATTACAGTGATCCATTCTCTCTTTCTCCATGTCCTTGGGATCAAAACAATTAAATAGTGATAGTTCATGATGAAGTGGATCATGCAAAACACAGCAAAGACCATTTCATTATCTGCTCTGGCACACTTATATTTAGAATAAAAGCAAAATTACGTCCTTACTGTTGAATGTGCAATACCTGAAGTCTCTTTATATGAAATATAATGGCCAATAACTCTTAGAAAAAAAAGTTTTGATGGGGTTTGTTAAAGAACTCTAGGGTTCTTGGCTCAATTTTTTTATGCCAAAAAGGTTCTATATAAGGTGATTGCATAATTCTTTCATGTTTAACGGGTTACTTATTTTTTTCTAGTGATCAATTATGTTTACGAGATGTTTAATTCATGAAATTGAATTGAAAAATGAATCGAAACAAAGGTAATGAATTAATACTAAATCCATAAAATGATCCCATCATAGGAACCCCTGCACTCTGGTTTCAAGTGGTTCCAAACCAAGCAATTCCATGGAAGAACCATATTTCTTTGGTTCCCCAGAGAACTTTTCAAACAAAAGTTCTTAAAAGAACCATTTTTCTCAGTGTGAAGAACCCTTTGTGGAATGGAAAGATTCCATGGATGTTAATGTTCTTCATGGAATCAATGCCAATAAAGAACCTTTATTTTGAAGTGTGTAAAAGCTAGGTAATACAAATGAATGTTGAATCTTTTCTTCTAAGAGTGAGTATGTGGGTTACCGCTGTCGGCGTTAGTTTGGACCAGACTGAACATGTTCAATCTGTTGTTTGTCTGTGTCTGTTGGGGCAGTGTGAACATGAGTTCTTTTTCATAAAATTGTTTGTCTGTGCAGTGTGAATTGGCCTTTTGACACACCTCGGTGAGAGCAGGTTTATGCACACAGTTCACATATGGTTTGGGTTCTGACTCAATCGCTCCAGCGTAGGTCTTGTAGCAGATGGCACAGTCAATCAGAGGCTGTAGGGATTAATAAACACTAGTTTAATTGTATTGCACATTGAGAAATGATTTCCATTCATAAGGTACAATAACATGCTCTTATTGGATCATGTGTATGTTATTTAAATATAACCGCAGTTGTTTGTGCAATGTTAAAGCCTCAAGCTCTGTTCACGAATTGTACAGTTATGTGCCAAGGTGGAGCAAATCATTTCCTGTTATTTTAGACGATGTAAACCTCACTTACCCGATCATTCCTGAACGCACACGTGGTTGTATCAGCGTTCTCGGTTCCTCTTTGGCACTTGGTGGCTTTCAGATAAAAGTGATGGTAGATGTAGGTGACATCAAACCCTGCCTACAGAGATATTCATCCAGTTAGCAGAACACACATCAGGGTCGTTAACTAAAACTAAAACCATGAAATAATAAAAAAATTTCCATGACTTGAAAAAAAAAAACATCCACTGAAATAAAATATAGCAATTTCTCATTTTTGTTTAGTTCAAGTTGAAGTACTAAAATAACTAAAAATAAGAACTTAGCAATATTTAAAAATGCAAAAACACACAATCTGATTCAAAATAAACAAGTTATAATAGTATATTGATGATACTAAAATAACACTCACTGACAGACTGAAATAAAATGATGAAAAAAGATTTATAAAAACTATTGTATACATGTTGATTAATAAATATTTTAGAAATTGTAATTTCTATATTTTAAATATGTACAGACTACAAAGTATTTTGTAAATAAATATTAATTCGTTAATACAATAAAAAAAATGTTAATTTAAAACATTTTATTTAGAGATGGTTGCAAATATTATACATTTAAAAACATAATTAGCCTATTATATATTTAAATATGTTAATATTTAAAAATGTTGTGAATATTCCAAAAATATATAAAATACATAAATCATTTTTTTTTAAGAAAAATAAGTAAAGTAAACTTACAATATCTGATAAATTGGGGTGTTTTGGGCATTCAACCCCACACGTTCATTTCCCACTTATGATGTATATATTGTACATTCAAACTATATATTAGGCATTTCCAACTTCATGTGTACTTCTGGAAGCACATTACGTGTACTTTACATACTAGAAAATTCAATTTTAGCTTTTTGACTTAAAAAAAACAATGAATATGACGTGACGTCATGCCGAGTTACATTTTGGAAAAGTCATTTAGTGAAAGAACAAAGAGAGAAAGTCTTACAGTACCTCAATTTGCGACTTCTGGATGCTTTTAAAGAAGAGAAAATGTTGCTGGACGCCTTCGTGAGCATTGATATTTTGCAGAGCGAGCTCCACACCTTTCTTGTAGGAGTCTGTGAGTTTGCTGAAGGAGCTTTGCGCCTCAGAGGAGGTCAGGAAGACTCCAGCGAGAAACAGCAGAGCAAACGGCGGCAGAGGCATCTTCGACCAGTCTGAACAACACCTCCTGCTGCACTCGATGAAGAACACACTCGTTCCAGGAAGTCTGCCTTTTTTTTGTCTGGTTGTTGGGTAACGCGGTGTAAAATGGCTGTTAGTGAGGTAAACCACGAGTTGATATGGCGGCATGGCCTGTTTAGTTGCTTTTATTTGCCAACGAAGTTTAGTTTCTGGTATAAAACGACAATAACATAAACAAACATGCATAAACAAACTTAAATTTTGCGTTATTTATATTTTTATATTTATTTACTGATTTAAAGTCACCAGAAAATCGAAATTTGACAATTATTTTTATTATTATTTATTTTATGGAATATTATGCAGTATTTATTAAATTATTTATCGGTCAATTTAATCGACAAATCAAAGCAAATCACTGCCATCCAATCAAATCCACACATGGATAAAAGCTAGTCTCGCCCAACATTTTTTCTTGTTCAGAGGAATTAAGCATGTTTCCGCCTCGGAATAAAACAATTTTTAAAGATAATTGCGACTACATCTCACAGTTCTGACATTTTTTCTCCCAATTGCCTGCTAAAAAGTCAGAATTGTGAGATATAAACAGTTAATTTGAGAAAAACCATGCTGCGATTGAAACACATAGGTCCTGATATAGCCTACTAAACATCATAGCGTCATCATTAGTCCATAAAAAACACACAATATGCACTATGACGTTCTAATCCCAAATAATCACAGAATTACTGAAACATGTATTTTGTAAAGTATTTTATTGTACTGACAAACTAAATCACTTTATTGAATAGAGTAATCTGCTCTAATATCATTATAATGCTTTATAATGACATTCATTAATATTTGAAAGAGGTTAAAGGAGTTTTAGGAAACTTTGCTTTGTTATGCGCAAAAAAATCTTCAGGCGCTGAACAAATAATGGATTTTTCTCTTATGCAACAAACATCCCGTATTGATTTACTGTAGAAAATGTGACAAACATTGCAATGCTCTCTTTAATTTTTCTCTTTAGTGCTTGACAATCAGACAAATCGTGATGCAAGAGTTGATTTGGAACAGCGCAGACATGATAAAACATGCTGTGTTTCAGATTCCTTCACATCAGAGGTCAGATGAAGCTTCTCTAGGATCCAGTGTACGCCACAGGAGTCGGGGTCAGACTGCCGAAACCCGCCTGGTAACAGCCAATCTCTCGCTCTCTCTTGCTTTCCTTGTGTTCAGACAATCAGACAAAGGGTCAGCTCTACACACAAGTTTTGTACATCCTGTGATTCTATTGCATTACATATGTTGGGAAAAACATTTGCAAAGATTGACATTATTTTAGCATTAATGATAAAATCAAGTGTAGTTCCAGCTAATTAAATGAATCGTTTAAAAATGAAGAACATGAAGAGGGAATACCTTTGAGAGCACTTGTCGATACATACAGTTTAAATAAGGTTTGCCACCAATTACCCCAGCAGAGATCTTGTAGCAGATCACACAGTCAATGAGAGGCTGGAGGAATATGGAAATTGAGTCGGTTAGTTAAAAAAAAAAACTTAATCTGCTGTGGTGTAACTAAATATATACTGTATACAAGCATGTATGTAAGTACATTGTCTGTATTAAACCTGGTAACAAAGCATGAGACACTAACAAAAATTATTTTCAAGATTTGTTATCACATTTTTTCTATTGTCAAATCAACTTAAATAATTTATTTAGTTGAGATAACTTATTATTTTGAGTTTCTGATGATTACATTAATCTCCTTCATTGTATTAACTCACTTTTTTCAGTTCAATCAACTTAAAATTTTAAGGCAACCAAGTTACTTACTTTTTTAAGTTAAACCAACAATATTTTCATAGTTGTATCAATAGCAAAAAATAGCCAGACTTTCAGCCATATTTATATCAGATACAGTATTGCTGAAAAGTTTGGGTTCAGTATTTTTTTTAATTAATATTTTTATGCTGCAAGGACACATTAAATTGATCAAAAAAGACAGTAAAGACATTTATAATTTTACAAAAGATTTATATTAGTTCAAATACATGCTGTTCTTTATATTCAAAGTATCCTGGGGGAAAAAAAAAATCCACAAAAATATTAAGCAGCACAACTCTTTTCAACATTGATAATAATAATAATAATAATAATAATAAATGTTTCTTGAGCAGCAAATCATTCTTTCATTGTTATTATTATTATCATTGTTGATGCTTAATATTTTTGTGGATTTTTTTAAGGATTCTTTGCAAAGAATAATTGCAACCATAACAGGAATAAATTATGTTTTAAAATGCATTAAGATAGAACAAATATTTTAAACTGGAATTGTTCACAATATTGGTATTTTTACTCCTTACTTATAAAGGATATTTACTTTTTTTACTCCTTTTTACTCCTAATAAATCAACCTCAGTGAGCAAAAGAGAGTTTTCAAAAACATCTTACTGATCCCAAACTTGTGCATGGTAGTGTATGTAACTATTATAAATTGGAGATTGCAAAATGCAACAAAATGGTTCTTTAAAGCACCTCTTATTTAGATTTAATAAGTGTTACATTTACTCTGACCAAATGAAAAACAGCCGATCTTCATAACATGACATCAATGGGTTTCTAAAATGCGTATGTGCTTTAAATGAACAAGACAAGTCACACTTACCCGATCGTTCCTGAACTCACATGTGGTCGTATCAGCGTTCTCCGTTCCTTTCAGGCATGTTGTGGCTTTCAGATAAAAGTTATGATAGATGTAGGTGACACCGAACCCAGCCTACAGAGAGAGGATTTATACATCCACAGTAAACCCACATCCACCAACTCTAAATTTAGCAACTCAATTCTGTCCTCTTTTTTTGTTGTTGGGTCTCCGGAGATTTTCGATATTCGATTTCTGACCTAAAAATGGCTTGGCATCAAGAGTGTTTCGAATATCTGACCTACTCCTCGGGATGTGTGATGGATTAGAATATAATTTCAGAACATCTTTTCCCTGAAGAGGATAAAAAGCCCAAAAGAAGAATGCAGTTACCTGAATTTCTGCCTGATGAATAGCTTTAAAGAAGAGAAAATGGTGCTTGATGGCGTGACGGGCATTGATCTGATGTAAAGCCAGCTCCACTCCTTTCTTGTAGATATCTGGGAGCTGTTGTGCGTCATTCGGGGAGACTCCAGCAGTGAGCAGCACGACCAACAGAAGCAGAGCCATCTTTAACACAGTCTGAACTTCAACTCCTCCTGCAAATATGTCTGCTTGGCCAAAAAAAAAACAGGTTAAACATTCTCTAAAACAGCCACTGTTCATGTGGAGCCCTGGCATCATGCCTAGAAGTCAGAGACTAAATGATGAGAAGAACATTGCCACAATTATTAATTGCTTTTAAATTCAGCTGTAGTAATGAGGATTTGTTTGTCATTACCGCACACACTTGAACCAGAACATAAATCTAATTAGTTCAATTCAATTTGCACATTGCACAACTAGTCAGTTTGGGCCGTGGCAGAAAAGTTCATTGACTCGTAGCTAGCTGCCAAATGGCTAATGATAGCTGTGTATACACTGTAAAAAAAATATTGTTGGTTTAACTTAAAAAAATAAGTAACCTGGTTGCCTTAAAATTTTTAGTTGATTGAAATGGAAAAATTGAGTTAATACAATGAAGGAGATTGATTTAATCATCAGAAACTCAAAATATTATGTTATCTGAACTACATAAATTATTTAAGTTGATTTGACAAAAGAAAAAATGTTGTGATTACAAATCATGAAAATATTTTTTTTTTTACAAAATATTGTTGGTTTAACTTAAAATAAGTAACCTGGTTGCCTTAAAATTTTAAGTTGATTGAACTGGAAAAAGTTAATACAATGAATGAGAAATAACTCAAAATAATAAGTTATCTGAACTAAATAAATTATTTAAGTTGATCTGACAAAAGAAAAAAATGTTTCGATAACATTTTTACAGTGTATATATAGCTATTATTGAGTTATTGGCTTTTTTGTTGCTCATCATCAGTCTTTAGTGTCACATGATCCTTCAGAAATCATTCTAATATTTATTATTCAAACATTTATTATTAGTTTATGTTTTGTGGAAACGGTGATATTTTTTACATAGTTAAAAAGAACAGCATTTATTGTAAATAAAATATTTTGTAACATTAGAAATGTATTCACTAAATGATTCACTTCTGATCACTTCTAATGCATCCTTGTGGAATGAAATATGAATTTCTTTCAAGAAAAAAATCTTACTGACCACATACTTTAGTACAAAAAAAAGTATCTTTTTTTGCAGTATTGCTTTTTAAACCTGAAATATAAATACAAAAACACACAAAAAACATGAATAGCCAATTTAAATAGAAAAATCAACTTTATTTGCAATATTCGGAATTGACTGTAAATATTGCATTATGTACAGTGGAACATTTAAAAATCAAATATTCAACAAAATAAAAACGATGCATTAAAAAAGATGTCCACAGATGGTAAATGACCCTCACTTCCCTTTGCCATACTTTTGTAACAAATATCACCAGACTTTAAAATGACCACAATGTTCCAGCATTAACCTTCATGAACCCCGTAAAGCATCCATAATAAATACCATCGACAAACAAGTGCTGCAGAGAATCCACACAGTACAGATCCAGTAGCAGAACAAAACCTGCATTCACACTGAACCTCAAACCGTCCGATTTCCCAGAGTTCAACGCATCTAGACGCAAACCTGGAACCAGTCGCTGAACACGGGCAGAGGGAATCTCGACAAAGTACAACGTGATGAAGGTCCTGATTCACTAAACCATGACACAGACAACATTTTATAAAAATATTCTCAAATCAATCGCATGTACGCTACCCAATTCCTAGTCGGATAAAAATAACCTCTACACAATTTCATTTAGAGTTTCATTTCAGTCATTAGTTAAGCGCATACATAAGCTAATGCGTAACTTGCATAATGCGTTCCTATAATTAAAAGATCTGATTCTGGAATGTAAATAGCGCTCAAATGAGCTAAAGCACTTGTTTTGTAGCATGTTTAAAACACAATGGTGAATTAAAGAAAGGACAAACATAACATAACACGTGCGTAACTGAATTATTTAACCGGGACCAAATCATTAAATTTGTTCATTTCATTCCTGATGGCCTGTGCGCACAAAATATTGTGAAAGTGAGTGTACGTGCAGTGGGATATTAGTGATAACTAGTGATATTATTCAGGAATTCTGTGGCAAAATCCCTCATGAACTGACATAAATAATACGGTTCCCCTGTTAAACGCATAAATAATTAGTAAGTGTATCAGCTGAGAACTGGTGTTGAAAAGAACAGGCTTCTGTTTTAGTGTTAATTCAACGTTATATGTGGAAAGACTTTATAAATGTGGTAGAAATTACAATTCATCAGGTGTGCATTTCCCCAAAGCATTGTTAGCCAAATATGGACAGTTCAGTTGAAACGATGGGACTCGAGATCTATAAATGGCTTATCAGGTCAACATGTTTAGCTCTTACAAACGAACCATTATAAACTGAATGCTACAATTTTAGGATCATCTGTAGGGATGCTCCTGTTCTTTTTCTCAAAATGGGTTTTAGGACCCCAAACTAGGTCACTAGTGAATGCATCTGGGATTTACTAAAGCTAATCTGCAAACCGCTCAAGATCACCAAAACTGAAGATAACTCGCTCTGAACGCATTTGCACCATATATACTGCACATATAGAGTTGGTGACTGTTTAGAAATAGAAAAAGTGTGAATGGACAGCAACAATGGAAAAAAAAATACTGTCGGTTGTGATTGTGTTGGGTGAGTCATAAATAAAGTAAAACTATTAAAAGCACAGACATATATATTATATGAAATGGGCCTTGGCAATCTTCCTTAATCATGTATACCAAAAAAACTACATAAAATATTGCATGGGCCCTGAATGGTGCTGGGAATGTCCAGTTAACCCCATACGATACATTCGGTTTCCTCATAGGCGACAGATACGCTTGGTACAGGCCATAGCAGCTCAAACCGTCTAAAACAAGTGAAATTGTTGCCAGATTTCACATAATATTCTCTCCTCTACAGCATGTCAAGACTCACTGTGCGATTTGGTTTGTCAAAGTTTAAAAAGCTACCGTCCTATTGGCCAATAGCCTGACTGACAGGAAGACAGGTGAGAGACGGACAGCTGTGGTCGCGGCTCAGACTGGCATGTGCATCTCTGTGTATTCGTCGTGTCCCTCCTTCTCGACAAAAGTGGGCTCTGCATCATCAGCGTCCAACTGGAGAGAAGTTAACAAAAAAATAGTTAACATGAATTTGAAAATGACCTAGTTTCTTTATGGCTTCATCCTCTCAAAATAAAATAAAAAATGTTGTGAACACCATTTCAAACAGACTTTTAAAAGACATGTGTTTCCTAACTATATATAATTTGAAAGAAGTATCATCTGCTCACCAAGAATGCATTCATTTGATGAAAAATATAGTAAAAAAAACACATTATGGTGGAATATTAAAACAATTTAAAATAAAATGTATTTTATAAAAATGTAATTTACTCCTGTGTCTTCAGTCACATGATCCTTCAGAAATCATTCTAATACTCTGATTTGCTGCTCAAGAAACATTAGTTGTAATCAAGGTTGAAAATAGTTCATATTTTTGTGGCAAAAGTTTCTTTTATTGAATAGAAATGTCAAAAAAGCCAACAGAGATCTTTATTTACTGTCACAATAAATCTTACTGACCACAAACTTTGAACAATAGTGTATCCCTAGTGTAAAAGCAAGCAAAAATGTCTTTGTGTGTGCAAAAGATCCTTACACACTGCATTTCCCGAGGGCTAAAGATGCGTGACAGAAGAAACATCTTGACAGGGACGGTCAAGATGAGAACGAATGGGAAAGCCAGCGACGCCACGGTGGACATGACCGCCCAGAGGACAGCGAGACACACCACCTGTATCAATGTGTACAGATGCATACGCAGGGTCCGCACCTGAGGAACAGATTTAGTGTAAAAGATTTCTTTAAAACATCTGATACCATGTGACAGCCAGTCCTTTTTTTAAGAGAATGAACCAAAATCCTCTTTATTAATTACAAAAAGCAGCTTGGGTCCTGACCTTGCGCACGTAAGTGTGGTCGGGGTGGTATTTTGGGGGCATCAGCAGGAGCATGATCCGTTCGGTCAGCTGGATGCCGTTCAGCGACATCACACCCATGTACAGGAAGATGCCAAACAGCACAGCGATCGGGATTTGACGGAGCAGGTCACCGATTACTATTGAGAGACCTACAGCCAACGAAATTTGCAGAATGACTACATTTATAGGCCTTTAACTCATGTCAATACACACAATAGTCATTTACACGGATTTATTGTGCATGTAATAAAATATTATGCATCTCAAAAGAACTATATACTGTGCGTTACCTTGATTGTACCATGGGTAAAGGGTGTTTAAACCCATTTAAATTGGGTTAAAATTAGGGCTGTGAAAATCCAAAATAAAAGTTTGTGTTTACATAATGTATGTGTGTAGTGTGTATAATTATTTTGTATATATGAAGAGTTCAGATGCAAAAGCCTCTAAGTGCCATTTTGAAATTTTCTTCTAGAATGATCATTTTTATCAAGCTTATATATTTAAGTTCAGTAATTTCACTTAAATGGCAATTCATAGGTAATCTTCATTGTCATTTAAGTGAAATTACTGAACTTAAATATATATGCTTGATAAAAATGATCATTTTAGAAGAAAATTTAAAATGGCACTTAGAGGCTTTTGCATCTGAACTCTTCATATAAATTCACATAAATATTTTTTATATATTAATAACACATTTTTCTTAAATATATACATGCATATATTTATGTATAATATTAATTTTAAAATAAATAATATATATAAAGTATATACATGCAAAGATTTCTTAATTATATACATGCATGTGTGTGTATTTATATATACTAAATTATTATACACACCGCACACATATATTATGTAAACACAAACGTTTATTTTGGATGCGATTAATCGTTTCACAGCCCTAGTTAAAATCACGTCTGATTGCGTGTTGTTTTTCTAAATCGGTGGCAACAGCAATATGATAAAATACACAAATTTCCAATATATAATTACATTTACCTGTTTGATGATGAGAAAAATGAATTTTAAATAAATAAATAAAAATGTATTCAAACTATCCATATTGGTAGCACTTTATTTCAATGGTCCACTTAGGACATTTTACTAACTATAAATAACTTTGCATCTCAATGTCAACTATCAGTCATTTAAGTGTTTGAGTATGAAATAAAGTGTAAGCCCAGTGTACCTGACATTTCACTATTCATCAAGATTGTATTATTCGTTAATGAGATTAATTGATCTCTCAGTAGTTTCTGATCTCATCAGGTTGCAATACAATTGATAATGTTTGGAATTGTCATTGTTGAAACACACCTACAAGTATCGCCACCAGTAACCCGGTCACCCTCTGCTCCTTGATCTCCTGGATTCGAGGTTTGTCTCCTGGGGCGACGGCTTTGCTCATCACGGTAAGGGCGTTGGCGTGGGTTACGGAGCGCACGGTGGCCGCGGCCATCCACGGCAGGCCGAACAGAGCGCTGGTGCCGCCCAGAATCACGATGATCAACAGGTCCAGATGGAAACCAGAACCCTTGACCAGCATGCGCTCTTTCTTACTGACGATCAACCTAGAAGAAGAGAGCGTCTTTAATGCTGCCATGATTTAAACTTCGAACAAAGAAAAAAAAAACAGCAGCATTTATTACAAATTAAAAAGCTATAAATAAATAAAAACATGAACCAGAAAATTTTGTGATAAAAAAAAAATGTGAAAAGATTTTTTTCTAGCACAAAAAAATACATTGCTAAAAATATTTTTTGAGCTCTATAAATGTAATTATAATGACACAAAGCATGGCAATGGACTCACGTGGTGATTTGCGTTTCCATAAAGATGAGGATGAAGACGAGCAGAGCGGGAAGGATACTGGCAAACATCATCCAGATGGGGAACTGACCATCACTGCCCAGAGGATTGACTATCCAAGCACGCTTATCAGGACTCGTCACTGAAAAACCTCGCGGGACACTGAGTTTCTGTAGGGAATAATAAATTAATAACAATAAAAAGCATGATTATTAATTATTTATAATTTACAGATCGCCTATAGGAACATTGTGATGGAGAAAAAAAATATTTGTCAAAGCTTTCGCGTTCTCTTCCAAATGTTTGTCAACCCTCCCGTTTTTTCCGGGTTTCTCACGTATTTTAAATCTTTTCCAGCTGTCTTCCCGTTTTAGTATTTTCCCGTAAAATATCCCGTATTTTTACGCTCTGATTGTGTGAGACGTACAAGCTCGGACAGATTCGGCTTGAAGTCGTTCATCGTCGGATGTGGCACCGCGCGCTGTTATAGGCCGGAGACACACTGGCTGCGTGGCGTGTCCGTTTTTATTTCGGCTCCCATGTTAACAGAGCTTGCACACTGCCTGTGCGACACGCGTGTCTCCAGAAAACGCATGCATGTTAGAAATAGAACTGACGCCTATTTTTCACACGACACGCAAGCATGTTGAAAGCGTTTCCAGGCAAAAAAAAAAAAAAAAAAAAAGGAAACAATGTTTATGTGTCATTTTGTGCACGAGTACATATTCATAAATTACATTTTGATGTTTGAAAGTCTTGGTTTTGACATAAATTCAGATATCAATGTAATTTATACAAATAATTATAATAATTATCGATTTTCAAATATTGCCATTATTTTTGCCTATATATAATTTCATGTCATTTTTTTTTAAACAATCCAGTCCTGGTGTCCACTACAGACGTCATTAGCATAACATATGAATAAAATGGGTTCTGGGCCTCAGGAGGATATAAAGATAGGATAGACTACAATAACAAGTGTGTCTTCTGAGTGACGGTCCACCATCAGGCTAAATATAGGCTCTTTAAAGCTACAAAATGTGTAAATGTTATTGAAATATAGACAGACAGCCCGCTTCCCTATTTTGCGGATTTTGGAAGATGTGTGATAACAGTTTGTTTTTCTTTAAATGACACACTGTCTCTTTGTCTCTCACACATATGTAGGCTAGTTATAAACTGACGACAAGATCCATAATTCCGCTTAAAGCTGAAAAACGTCATCAATATACACCTTTCTTATTGTAAGAGGTTAGCGACCCCTGGTGGCGAAAAATCCTGCATATTGTACATTTAATAACTTCAAATCATCTGCTAATCGCTAACTGTCCATCGTCACCTGTGTGTACGTGTCTTGAATGCTGTAGTCTACCAGAACCATGATGAGGATGGCAATAGGGACTCCAAAATCTCCAATAACTCTTCTCAACTGTAAAAAAAGAGTAGATGAAAAAAGACAGAAGATGACGAATTTCAACCACATTTTTCTTTGCAATGTGTTAATCACTCGGCAGTACTGGGTCAGTTGATCAGACGGCACCTTACCCTGCCGGGGAAGAAGGCACTGTTTTTGAACTTGCGCAGGTAGAAGGCGATGAAGAAGGTCCCAGACATGAGCACAAAGGACAGCAGAGCAGTATTAGGTTCACCGACCACCTTCAGCGTCTCCGGCGTACTGCTGTTCGCCATAAATGGACTTAAAGTGCTCGAGTTGTACATCGAATCGTTCACATCAACCGCCATAGCAGAGCAGCGTCTCAAAGGATGTTCCTGGAATGTCTGTGGGATACATCAGCAGTCAAGAGGACTTTTCACGATTATATATGCAGACAAAACACAATCACAAGACGACTCAAAGCACCTTGATCAGTTTCGAGAAGGTCTCGTAGATGAAGATGAGAGAGATGAGGAATGAGAAGATCTCCTGGGTGAAACGAGAGACAAATCGAACCAGGAAGCTGCCTTCAAATGCCACCACCAACACCACGATGATGATGAGCCAAAAACCGATCCAAACGCGACCCGTCAGGTACTCCATATCATTGCCCTTACAGAACTGGAGAAGAAGAGGACAGAGTGTTTAGTTTTGGGTGAACTTAAACTGAATTAACTTACTAACTTGTTTTTATTACTGATTTTGCTTCATAACTAATGAACTTTGCAACATTCACATAAACAGTGCTGGTTTATGCATCAAATATGAACAACAGTAATACTAATGGAAGTAATTGGTTTGAAATCATTTGCTAACTGATTTCTATCCACTGTAATCTTTGAGTAAGCGTCTTAAAAAACGTATTTAAACTTGATATTTAACAGCAGGGGTCGCTGTCTTGTTTAAAGGAGTAGTTCACTTTTAAAAAAACTTTAGTTGATAATTTACTCACCCCCATGTCATCCAAGATTTCCACGTCTTTCTTTCTTCAGTCGAAAAGAAATTAAGGTTTTTGATGAAAACATTCCAGGATTTTCTCTATATAATGGACTTCATTGGGAACCAAACGGTTGAAGGTCCAAATGAGAGTTTTAGTGCAGCTCCAAAGGGCTTTAAACGACACCAGACGATGAATAAGGGTCTTATCTAGGACCCTTCGAGTCAAGACTCGAAAAAAGATTTGTTCATTTTGATGAACGAGTTTGAACAGTTACGAACGCGCATCACAGAACAGAGGAAGGCGACCATTTGTGCTTATAAAACTTAAACTTTGTTATATATTTTTAAAATGATCAATAGTTTCCCTAAATAAGACCCTTATTCATCGTCTGGTGTTGTTTGAAGCTGCACTGAAACTCTCATTTGGACCTTGAACCGTTTGGTTCCCATTGAAGTCAATTATATGGAGAAAAAAAAACCATGGAATGTTTTCATCAAAAACCTTAATTTCTTTTAGACTGAAGAAAGAAAGACATGGATATCTTGGATGACATGGGGGTGAGTAACTCCTTTAAGGAACCGCATTATAAACTCACAGAGAAGAAGGCTTCTTCAAACACCAGGATAGGTCCAGAGAAGCCCACCACCAGAAGAGGTTGAGCTCCGAGCAGACAGAACAACACACCCTGAATACATGTGGCCACTATCAGCTCCGACACGCCAATGAGCCCTTCAGTCTTCTCACCTGTACACATAAAACATGAGTCATGAATTATTGAACATCGATGTCAGACACATATGCCGTCTGGAGTTCAGGGCATCTCATTTAAAATGCTTATCGGAATTAGAGCCACTAATAGCGTTTATCATGATTAACCTTTTGTTAAATAACTGGTCACTTACTGGTTACTTAGATCTTCATGGTGACTAATTTAAGTCAGTTTTGGATCAATTTTTTTTTTCAAACAATGTCCGAAACTTCTCATCTCAAAAACTCAGCGGCAGCAGATCACATGCATTTAAAATGAGTATTTTTCATGCATATAAGAACTTAAATCTCTTTTAGCAAAAAAACAACATCACAACTGACCCAGAAGGCCTCCAAACGTGATGGCAGGAGAAAGAGCAGCAAAATAGATAAAGATGACAGCAGCCATGCACTGGGGGTTCAGCGCATCCTTGAAGTCACTGATGTACTTTGGGTAACGGCGCTGGGCGTCACGGATCAGTCCACCAAACAGACGGCCTGTGCGTCTTAGAGGGTCGTCTTCTGGTTTAAAGGGCGCCAACAAGGCCTCTGATTTACACATCAAGAGAGAATTTGAGATATTATTAAGAAATATTAATTATTAATAAAATAAATAAACTAAACAAGCATACATAAAATTTAAAAACTGAAAGCACAAAAAACAAAGTACAAAAAAAGACAGAACAGCAATAAGGTAAAAAAAAGTCTTAATAAAACCAAACACACTAAAAGTCTAAATCAAAAAAAGAAAACAAAAATACAAACAAAAATACTAAATAATTAAAACAAGCACAAAAGAGACAAAAAGAAAAACAAACAAAGGCTCTGCATAAAATAAAAAAAACTAAAATGAAAGCACATAAAACAAAACAAGCAGACACACAAACAAAAAAAACAACTAAAATCAATAAGGTAAAAAAACACTAAAAACAAAGCGTCTACATAAAATGAAAAAAAAATAAAATAATAAAAGACAAAATAAAACACTTATAAAAATCAAACAAATAAAAAAAGAAAACAAATACAAATAAAAACAAGCACAAGAGACAAAAAGAAAAACAAACAAACTAAAGCTCTGAATAAAATAAAACAGCTAAAATGAAAGCACATAAAACAAAACAAGCACACACACACACACAAAAACTAAAAAGCAATAAGGTAAAAAAAACACTGAAAACAAAGTGTCTACATAAAAAAAAACCGAAATAATAAAAGACAAAATAAAAACACACTAATAAAAATCAAACAAAGAAAAAAACTAAGAAAACAAAATGTTTTCAAAATGAAATAAAATGAGCACAAAAACACACATATCAAAAGAATAAAGACAAAATAAACCAAAACAAAAAGCTTAACTGGAACTAGTCAGCCCAGACTGAATGCAGACCTTTGTCTTCGAGGCTCTTGGGCTCTTTGGACAGCATGGCGCCCCCCTGCTCCTCTCTCTTGCGGAGCATCTCTCTTTGGAAGTGAGCGACGGAGCGCAGGAGCTCATCTCCGCCCAGCTCTGATGGAGGGAGCACGATGCTGCAGTCCAGGAAGCCGTTGATGGCGTTGAGCAGGTCCTGCCGATCGTCTGCCAGATATGCAGCTTCATGAAATTGCTGGAGAGACGTCACATCAAGTTAACACTGGAAACAGGCATTATAGCCAGAACGGTTTACAACAATGCACGTTTATGATCTTGTGGGTCGGTGAGCTGTCATTTAATTATTATGCTAGACTGAGAACAGTCTTCCTCACTTTGTCAGACATGAGTGTGGAAATGGAACGTCCGATCTGGTGGTAGTCCATGTTGGTGCTGGGAGGACCAAGCAGCACAAAGAGAAACCGAACAGGAACGGATACTTCCAACACCGAGGCCAGCTCTACAGCCTCCTGCAGTCGGACAAACGCCATGGTGGGCTGCTCCAGGAAGTCCACACTGCCTAACAAGGGAGAAATACAGGTCACTTCCTGCTGTTTTGTGACATAATTTGCTAATTGTGTTAGCTTTTCATTTATCAGAATTGCAAAATTGATCCTTATTGGCAGCCGGTTCAAACTGAAATGAATCTTTTTCCAAATTCCATATAATCTAGATTCTAAAATGATTTAGAACTGATTCCAAAGTAGCAATTCCGCCGGAATTCTTTAACAAGAGAACAATCGCTTACCAACGAGTACGACGGTGGCTTCAGCATTTTCAGGAATTTTCTCCAGAAGCTTAAGTTCATGTTTGGATTTGGATTTGTGCATGCCTATAGGTGGAGCTGAATCTTTCTGCAAATAATGAAACATAAGACGAATCAGAAAGAAACGAATCTTGAAGACCCAAAATATATTTTATGTTGAGCAGCGAATGAAAAATTCGTAAAAAAATTTTTTCACATTTGATGTCACGCCCCTTTATTTTACAGAACGTTCAGTTGCGTGTACTTGCCTAAAAAAGTACTGGTTAATATAAGGTAACTACATGGATTCTGTTTATATTTAGGGGTAGGTTCAGGTTAGTACAAAGTTCTTACCCAGTTATTGTATTTACTACAATAAGTACATAGTACATGGGGAACGGAACTGTAAAATAAAGACCTTCCAATGTCACAAAAACACATTCAATCGTTACACAATAAGCAAAAACATGATAGGTGAAGAAATGTCATTTTTAACCCTTAAATGAATGAACAAATGAATGAATGATGAATGAAAACGAGGCCTAGGAGCTTCAAGTTATCGGTAAATAGATACAGGCTGCCATCCTCTTCAACTAATCGAGACACTTCAATCCAATTACCTCGTTCTTCTCTATGTCAATATGAAGACTGCTGTCTTGACTGGCCCTTGAGGAGCCCATGAGCGGCTCTGTGACGGAGGGTTCGGGGACGGACAGGTGGTTATTGCTGCTCTGGTGATGGGTGATCAGGGAGCCCAGGCTGGCAGCCGAGATGTTCCTGGGGAACGGGGAGCTGTGCTCTTTCTCATCGCTCGGGTGACTAAGGGAGGGAGAGCAAGGGAGCCAGCGGGTAAGAGACACTAGAAGAGACTGCGAAGGGTCATGTGTGGATCTATATGTGGATGGGTGATGTTATGGCGAACAGAAACCATTTATATGAGAATAAAAAAAACAAATGTTGGATAAAAGAAATTCAAATGGAAACCAACATCCTTCTGGCATTTCTTACACCATGTCTACAGCAGATGTGAGCGTGGCAACATTGAAAAAAGCAAGTAAATCCAGCTGTGGTGCGAGATGACCTAAATCCCGACAGTTAACTGATGTCCCGTTCCATTTCTGACATAGAGCTGGCACAACTTCTGATGCGAAGAACAAATAGATTTGCAATGGTCGATTTGTCACGCCTGGAGTAGACATGGTGTTAGATATTGCTTATTGTGCGAACATCTGAGATCTACCTGTGCTTGAGTAAGAGAGCGCGGAGGACATTGGCTCTGTCCTCAGCTTTGATCTGGTCTGAGATGATCATCTGTTCCACCACCTGATGGGAGATACCAGGTAGTGTCTTCTGGTCCAAGTCCAAAAGCACAGCTCCTAATGGGAGGAATCAAAAATAAGGTTATATATATATAAAAGTGTGTGTGTGTATATATATATATATATATATATATATATATATATACACACACACACACTTTTATGTTTATAAAAAAAATTCCAACTCGCATAAATCATATACTGTGTATATATATATATATATATATATAAATTAAATATCTACACACATATTACAGACACACACACACACACACACACACACACACACATATATATATATATATATAAACACTTTTATATATAAAACACTACTACTTACAGTACATAAATCATATACTGTATATATACATATATATATATATATACACTGTATGTATATATATATATATATATATATATATTTATATATATACTGTATATATACACAGTATTTACTTTCACACACAAATATTTAAATATTACAGAAATATTATATATACATTGTGTGTATATATATATATATATACAAAAATATACATTGTGTGTGTGTATATATATATATATATATATATATATATATATATATATATATTAAATATGTTTTTACTCTCTACATAAATGTTTATGAATATAGATAACTTTGTTCATAATACAATAAAATACATTTAACAAATAACATTGAACTTAGGCAGGAGTAGATGCATAACATGTATGTTTGTTTTTATTACGTTTGTTGTGTGTGTGTGTGTGTGTGTATATATACACTGTATATATCTATGTATATATACACACACATCTATATATCTATCTATCTATATATATATATATATATATATATATATACTGTATATCTATCTATATATATATATATATATATATATATATATATATACATACAAACATAATAAAAAATGACAATAATATATAACAACAATAATCTATAAGCGATGTGTAGCTTTTGGTACTAAATTATATTTTATCCATAATCCACATTATTGCTCACTTTTCTGAAGAACATTTAATTTTTAACAGAAATATTACTTGAATTCCCATTTAGTTAAGTAATTATATTTTAAAAAGTAGTTTAAAACCATAGTATACAGTAGCAAATCACACTAAGATTGGTTATGTAATCAATTTTGATATTACAACAGCAAATGTCAGGTTAGCTGTAAGATTTTATGAGTTTTATGGAGGTTTGAGCAGGTTGTTCTCACCATGAGAGATGGTTTTCCTCAGCTCCAGCAGACTGCGGAACGACAGCGAGGCGACGTGTGGTTTCCCCCAGCGGTCCGTTTCCTCCTCCACGTCCTCTTCAAACTTGATCCAGCGGGCTGTTTCTCTCCACTGCATCTCCTGGTTTTTATCGATGATCAACTCATTCAGCTCCACAAACACCTGAGGCCAAAGAACATGCAATACACGGGTGAAGATCATGCAAATAAACACCTTCTGAATCTGATGAAAACTCCCAAAACACAAATTCATCAAGAGCTTTTTTAGAGGAAGTTAAAGCAATATATCATTAAAACTCAAACTAACATTGGTCTGATCAGCCCAAAATGTGATAACACACACACACACACACACCAATCGATGCATCCAGCACCCTATTCCCTGACCTTCTGGTTTTGAGCAAGCCGCCTGGAAAAGTCTAAAAGGACCATGCTGTTCGTCCAGACAGAACAGCGTCAACGAGACGTCAGGCAACGGTGCGAACACTGGTGTTGTTTAGAAGTAAGAGGGTCCATAAGTACACTCATTTACCCGAATGCGTAGCTGGTTTACCTGTCTAGAGGTGAATCTGGGGGCGTTAATAAAACATGACTGACTCTGAAGGCTTGCGGTGTCCAGTTACCCAAGCTGATCTTTTCTTTATTCTTAGGTGTGTGAAAGGGAAGAAGTGCATTCATTTTTAATCAGGTTCTGACCCCCAAAATCCACCTTTTATTTGTTGGGAAGGACAGCAGGCTTGTCAGAAATAATTGGAAATGCAGTCTCAATCTGGGTAAAAGGGCTAAATGCGCTGAAAGGACTCATCAGGACATTGTGAAGGCATCTGGAGAGATATCCGAAACCTTGCTAGTCCTGCGCATTACAACAACTTTGTCCTATAATCGCTGCCGGAGGGAATGGTGTTGAAAGATTTCATGTGTTACAAAAGGTAAAAACGATATAAATACTGTTCATTTTTCTCACACAAACCGCTCGTTTCTTGTCTTAGGCCATCAATGTGTACTTACATTTACGAGTCATTAAATCATGTTTAATTTGGACTTCTCTGTGCATGCTCTTTGAGGTGGTGACCATAGACCTCCATTATATGACTGACAGACTACGATTTAACCTAAAAATATCAACTCCTGTGGAAACAAAGACACCTACATCTTGGATGCCCTTGAGGTAAGCTAAAACATACCAAAAATTCATTTTTAAAGTGAACTATCCCTTTAATCAATTTAATGTCCATGACCATGAGAGCCTTGGGTTCAGACTAGGTTAATACACTAGCTTCAACCAAACTTCTCATATCAGCTAGTCCAACTCAGAATGAAGCACGAGTCTCACCTCATGTGGCGTTCGGTCCAGTTTGCGAGTGCGTGTGCTGGGTTCTTTGTGGTCTTTGCTGATGTGCACCACATGACCCTTCGTGCTTTTCCTGACCAGGTGTCGACGCACTCCAGGAACATCTTCAAAACGATGGCCTGGAAGAATGAAACAAAAACGTATCATTTGTTAACATTGGTTGCATTAACTAACATGAACTAACTATAAGAAATACATTCTTACAGCATTTATTAACCATGTTCATGTTAGTTAACACACACATTTTCATCTTAAAAATTAGAGCCCGACCGATAAAGGATTTTAAAGACCGATACAAATATTTTTGGGTTTTAAAATCCGATATATCGGCCGATATTTTATTTATTTAATTATTTTAAACTGGACATGATAGTCACAAATTTTGTCATGCTTATTTGAGTTAAGAGAACTGACTTGTTATTCAAGCAATGTATGTCTCGTGACCAACTCAACGAGTGTTGCCAACAGGAACGGTGTAGAGGGCCGATTGGTGGACAAACTATACAACTCCAACACTCATGGCATGGTTCAAGCGTGTTTCATCCGTTTTTATTTTATTTTTGAAATATTCATTTATCGGCCATTATAACTGCCGATACCGATAGTTTGGAAAATGTATAATAAAATCGGCCGATAATATCGGTCTGGCGATATATCGGTCTGGCTCTATTAAAAATGTATTAGTAATTGTTGAGATTAACATTATGATTGAATGGTTTAGAAGTATTGTTCATTGTTAGTTCATTTTAACTACTTTAGCTAACTAATTTTAACAAATAAAACCTTAATGTGAAGTGTTTCTCAAATAATCGAGGAACATGTTCAAAAATGTTACTACCAACCTGAAGTTTAGGGCTGGTAAGATTTTTTTTTTTCTTAATGTTTATGCAAGAAGTCTCTTATGTAATATTTCACGTTTTTGATTAAATAAATGATAAGCATATTTACATTTTAAATAATTATAAAATGTAATTTATTCCTGTAATCAAAGCTGAAATTTCAGCATCATTACTCATCTTCAACATCTTCAGTGTCAGTGTCACATGATCCTTCAGAAATCACTCTAATATGATGATTTCCTGCTCAAGAAACATTATCAATGTTGAAAACAGTTGTGCTGCTTAATACTTTTGTGGAAACGATGATACATTTTTCCTGAAGATTCTTTGATAAATAGAAAGTTCAAAAGAACAACATTCATTTGAAATATAAAACTCTTTTTAACAGAAATATGTAAAAAAAAAAACTAGAAAACTTCACCAATCCCAACCTTTTGAATGGTATAAAGAATTTATCATATATGGAGATTAACCTGCAATTTATTATATGCCACATTAATGAATACTAAACATGCACAATGACTATTATTACATATTTGATCAAATTTCCATGGTTTAAGATTTCCCCAAGGTGCATGAATTCCTCAAATCTGTCAACCCACTCTCACTAGGTAAAATCTTCTTGGCAGAGTTGAGAAGCAGGTCATCGTCTTTGTTCCTAACAAGCTCATCAGGGTGAAATTACAGGATGGGCCGGTCGCCAAAGACATTCGCGGTAAAAAGGTCAGGGCAGGACCCGAAGGGGATTCGACTAATTGGGTGATTGTAGGAACAAACTCCAATCAAGAAAACAGGCCAAAGCCTTTTTACCAGTAGAAATTTGAAATTCACTAACATTAAGAAAAAGCGATTAGCGAGAGCTGACAGCGACTAAAACCGCTGATGATGCAAAAAGTCAAGCAGAGTTTAACATATTATTGTCTGTTAGCTGTTGTAAGGCATGTACTGATGTGCCAAAACTTAAACTAAATGGGTGACAGCAACCGTTTAAGTCCTGTCGTTGAGCATATGCAGTAGATGGGCCTTTTCCCAGACGAATCAGTGGCCTGCATAGGAAGACGGAGAGAGCTGATGGGGTATATTACAAGAACCGCTGATATACTACTGACGTCTGAGAAAGGTTTGGCACAAAAGACTCTTGCCGTGAAGCATAGCAGGATGCATGGTACAAATCATTTGAGAGACCATGAAAACTAGAGCCGACCGATAAACGATTTTGAAGGCCGATACCGATCCAAATATTTGTTGGTTTTAAAATCTGATAGTCCGATATATCGGCCGATATTTAAAAAAAAAAAAATTATTTCAGAAACGCGCAAAAAAACATTAACAGATTTCCCTAACATTAGTTATTTGTAGTTATTTATGAGTTTTAACTAAAATAATATGATGATGCATTTTAAAAAGAAACTCGTTACTTTTATTGTCACAACAGAACAGAGGAACATCAAAATATATTAAAGTTCTGATATTAGTCCCTACATTGCCTTATAAGCTACCTGCAACCTGGATCAGCAGGTTGCAGGATATGTGGCGCGTTATACACGAGTGTTGCCAACAGGGAAGGTGTAGAGTGCCCCCTGGTGGACAAACTATACAACTCCAACACTCATGACATGGTTCAAGCGTGTTTCATCCCTTTTTATTTTATTTTTGAAATATTCATTTATCGGCCATTATAACTGCCAATACCGATAGTTTGGAAAATGCCTAATATCGGCCGATAATATCGGTCTGGCTCTAATGAAAACCATCTCACAGATCATGGATGTTAGTTTAGAAGTGTCTTTAATGCCACTTTTGACCAATTTAATGCATCCTTGCTGAATAAAAGTATTCATTTCTATTAAATAAAAATTCTTACTGACCTCAATCTTTTAAACAGAACTGAACTTTATATTCCAGCAGCATTATATTTAGCATTATCTTTTTATGCGAAGGAATGTCAAAAGGATTTTAAAAGTCAATCACCCACAAAATGCATATTACTGGCGAACAATAGAATTGAAGAGCAATTATTCACCAAACCGTAAAAACTCACTTTTAATGCCATCCAGGTCGGCCGAGGCCAGGGTCCGAGCCTCAAACTCATCAGTGGGGATCCGCTGGTATTTGGCCTGCTCGGTCCCCGTCATGTTGCCCGTGCGACGTCTCTCCTGAAGGTCGTAGCTGCGACTCGACACACGGGGCAGAGAGCTGGGCTCAGTGGCGCTAGGGGTCGGAGGAGCAGGTTCAGGCGTCCTACAAGAGACAAAACGAGACTTCAAACCATTGACACAGTTTTTTTTTTAGTTTTCAATTTAGTTTTATTAATATTTTGAGTTGGCTTTTATTTTTATATTTTTAGTTCATTTTAGTAACATTTCATTGTTTTTCACATTTTTTAAATATTGCTTTTTAGGTGCATTTTTTATTTCAGTTTTAAGGTACTTTTATACAACGAAGATGTACTAAAAATGGAAAAGTTTAGTTTTTTGTGTACAGTTTACAACGTTGTCAAAATGATCCCAGTTTACACGGATCTGCGAAAAAGGTTAAATTCACAGTATTTTGCTGCCAGGCCACTAGTTGGCAATGTCACTTTGTAAAGAAACACTACGAGTGTATTGTTCAGTCTTACGTAATACGCATGCACATGACATCACGGTTCTCACAAATTCACGTTTTTGTGGTTTACAATGAGACGAATGGCATCGTTTTAAAAAACTAGCACTTTGAAACCGGTTCTGTTTTTTAAGTTTGCATTTCCAAAATGCCATTGTCGTGTAAATGAATGGCCAAAACGCATAAAAAGTTATCCGTCTTTAGTTTAAAACGTTTTTAGTTTAAATAATTAATTATTTTAGTGCTTCAGCTTTAACTTTTTAGTTTTAATTCCAATTTTTGTTTAGTTAAAGTTTTCGCGCTAATATTTATATTTTATTTTAGCTTTATTTCCACTAACATACATGTTTTAATAGTAAATGTCAGATTATAATAAAACAGATTATAAACATGCAAATCTTTCTCAAAAGTCCACAAAAGGAGTAAAAACTGCTTTGTTGTGCTCATTATTTTTTAAAAAGTGCTAGTGTTTTACTATGATAAATATCTTTTGGTAGTTTTTAGCTCAATAACATGCAGACAAAATATTGAATTTTGTCTGTCCACAAAAATAAAATGCAGGTCACTGAAGAAATACAATATAACTTATCTCATAACTTCAGTAGCTCATTATAGAGTATGCACACATTATCTTATGACATAAAATCTTTACAGATTAATGGAAAAGTATCTTGCACTCAATTTCGCAACAAATACAAAATCTTCTTCAGCACTTACCTTTATATAAAATTAATCGTTTTTAAAAGCTTATTAGACCAAAAACATCACAGACAAAATCCCTGTCATTGTTAATGTTACTAAAGATTAAAGAACAGAAGAACCTGCTGAAATGACATTAACAATGAATCCTGTTGTGTGTAAAGACACTCCTGCGTTTAAAAAGCAGAAAGGAAAGGTGGAGAGCGCTTTATAAAAGCAAAGTGCGGTTGCCAGTAGCAACGGGTGAATGATGTAGACAGCGGTGATGGAGGTCTGGAGAGAGACTGATACCCTGCTGGTCTCTGAAATATCTCGTCCTAGGTAACGAACAGGGTGTGCTGTGCACTGGCATCTAATGATTCAATTTACAGTAAACCAAGAACAGAGAGGCGGACACAATCTGAAAGTGCATGCTTTATAGCTAGTGCTACACAACCTGCAATATTCACCACTTCAGCTGAGCAACTAACAAAACTGAAGACACTGACAACTTCCCTTAACCCTAAAACTGTATTCTGGACAAATGTGGGCAAAATAGTATTGATTTATTTTTAAAAAATACTTCCCTTTGTCTGAGTGGTACAAGACTTGGTTACTTCTAAGTTTGCCTCCTGAACACACACAATTTTTTTCAATTCTACAATGTTCTTAATCTTGTATTTGGGTCAAAAATGGGCACCCATAGAAATGAATGGGACAACTGTAATTTAGAGCATTCTAAAATAAGCCAAAATAAGACACAAGGCGACAGCAAAGTCACTTCATCTTTAGGTTTTAGCTCTAAGGACTTATTGGAATGATATTTTAATGTACTTAAAAAAATGAAAAAAATAAAATAATTTACATAGAAAATATGGTACTTTTTGAAGTAAATAAATTCAAAAATACCCCCAAAATAAAGAACAACACCATAAATGGATAGACAAAACTTTATCGAAGACAGTGATATAACATTTATAATAAATAAAAATTAGGATCACACCTGAATCCTCTGTGCCCACATTTGTCCACAATTACAGGATTAAGGGCTATAAAGTGAATACGTTTTGAGGGATACAGAAATGGTGACAGTTTCCACCAAAATCCCACAATTAATGAAACAATTGCATGAAGTCATTAAGAATTCTTGCATTACTTTCTAATTTTCATGCTCACCCAAAAATGAAAATCCCAAACCTGTATGAATTTCTTTCTTCAGCTGAACACAAATGAACATATTTTGAAGAATGTTGGAAACGTTCCCCATTGACTTTTATAGTATGGGAAAAAAAAAAAAAAAAAAAAAAATCATCGGGGTCCATATCAACCGTTTGGTTACAAATACCTTATTTTCTGTTCAGCAATACATGTTTGGAACCACTTGAGGGTGAGTAAATGATGACAGATGTTTTATCAGCATGTTTTCACTAAACGTTTGTTGCTATTGGAAAGCTAAAGCAGGCGGACTCACTCAGTGGATGTGCTGTCCTGGGGCTGCGAACACACCGCAGACGAGGGGACGATCAGGATTCCTCGTGCAGGGAGAGGATCTGAAGTCTCAGGGGTGGACACATAAGGGTCATCATCGGAAACGAAGAACTGGACATGAGATAAAATGATAGGAATAATGATAAATCTAATCTATCTAGTTTGTGATCTGAAAATGAACGAAAGTCTAATGGGTTTGGAACGACATGAATTATTTTTGACTGAATTATCCCTTTACGTTTTCAGAGTATCTATTTACACTAAGTGCAAATAGCCCGCCTTGTTGGCAGAGGCTATTTAAAGTGCCTAAAGGATATCTAAAGTGTTTATCGGGTAGGGTTAGGTTTAGGAAGGACAGCATTTATTTCATTTACACTTGTGGTATTATTCATTTATGCCATTACTGCATGCTGTACTAAAACAATGAGGTGCAAATAGTTTCTAACTAGGCTACTACTCACACTATACTGCTATTTTTAAATAGTGTAAATAGAATCTATTATTACTTGCACTTTGTGCAAATAGGCGCTGCCTTACGTTTTTGCCTGTATTTCAGTATGCTGTTTACATTGTTATGTATTGTCTTGGATAAAGTTCATACAGATAGAAGAGCTTTCACTAAATTAATAAGACATTCAAATTGAAATCACAAATATAGGATATGAATCTGGTTACCTGAACATTGTCTTTCCTCTCAGTGTCTGTTGTGGGAGTTGGGGTGGCGCTCTGGCCTTCTGTAGATTCTTCCTCTTCCTCCTCCTCATCCTCATCTTCACCCTCCTCGATGGCCAAAGCATTGCTGGGGCTTGAACACGCTCTGTGCTCTTTACTCGTGCTCCTCCTCCTCTTCCTCCCACTCTTCTTCCTCCTGCCATCTCCCGGGAGTTTGGACAGAGGATGGTGGATGTGACGGGAGGAGTGACGGTGATCTGAGAATGATTACAGCCGGGTTTCACTTCCGCATTTTCACATGTAAAATTGGAATATTTCATTTCGAAACAAGATTGAAACATTGTGTGAAATGTGCTCCTGTGACGATGTTGTTATTTATACTATTAATATTACATATTGCAACTGTACTATTACTGGCTCTACCATAAAAAATGATAAGTATAAATGTATATATGTAATAAAAAATAAACATAATAATAATAATAAGAACAACATAATATATATATATTTAGTACACATTTATACATATAAATATATATGTTTATACATATAGTGGAGCCAGCAATAGTAAAGATGAGACAGACAGACAGACAGACAGACAGATAGATAGATAGACAGACAGACAGACAGACAGATAGATAGATAGATAGATAGATAGATAGATAGATAGATAGATAGATAGATAGATAGATAGATAGATAGATAGATAGATAGATAGATAGATAGATAGATAGATAGATAGATAGACAGACAATAATGAATAGTTTTCTAATAAAATAAAATGAAATAAAGGGGTGCGAAAGGATGAGCTTACACTCAAAATCTTTCTCATTGTAGGTGCGGTGCTGCTCGCCGGGAACTCTGGGAGTGGGGCTCAGAATCTGCTGGAAGCGCTGAACACCTAAAGCTTTGTTCAGGTCACCATCCTCCTCTTCCTCCCTCAGTGGCACTCGGACAGAAGAGGTCGACGACTCGGGCTGGAGGACCACACAGGATGAGGTCAGTGAGGAAAAATCAATTCAAAACAAGTAAAAAATAAAAAAGTAAAACAAAATAAATGTATATTTATAATATGTTTTTTTTCTGATGGCCAACTGTTCCCACTGGTGCAGTTAAACAAGTGATAAATCACTGCACTGCTAACAGCCATCACTAGAGGGAGTCATGGTCCATCGAGTTAAATGAACCCTGTCAGAGTTCCCAGTGATCCAGATTCAGTATTAAATCTCTTTCTAAATTAAATGGGAATCATGATATTATGTAAAACAAATGCAAACACTAGAGGCTTTACAGCTCATGCGCTTATTGCAATAACATGAGCAAATATCCTCAAGTTTAAACAAACAATCTTACTAGCTACACCTCAATGGATATAATAATCACCCTGACAAACCTATGGAAAGAGACGGGATGAAAAACTATCTAAAATATATCTTTCATTTGGCAAATTCACAAAATTGATTTCCTACATGCAATGAAATGACTAAAAATATCCGACACAACAAACCTTTTCCACTCAAAAATCCTTGCAAAATCAAAACAGATTTGACTAACATCTCATCTAAACCGTTCTTGCACGTCCACAACAGGAGATGTTCGCGTCCTCTCTTCCTGCTCATGTGCCCGCTCACACGGTACATTACACAAGGAGAATTTCTGCCATTCAGTAGCGCTATAATGCATTTATGTGACGTGTGCATGCATTCCACGGTGCACAAAGACTGTTTTGTTTGTGATATATCCTTCAGTGACTAGAGAAACTCGTCATCAGTTGCTCTGGACTAAATTACCGTGCCAGCATCAATTCTCTGTAGGACAACATCTGGGTCTGGTGTACGGCTGCATGTTATATAGAAATAAAAATCAATTTCACGATATGTTATAAAGCGATAGCCAAACGCATTTAATAAATCTACTCTCACCTAAAGGATTATTAGGAACACTATACTAATACTGTGTTTGACCCTCTTTCGCCTTCAGAACTGCCTTAATTCTCCGTGGTATTGATTCAACAAGGTGCTGAAAGCATTCTTTAGAAATGTTGGTCCATATTGATAGGATCGCATCTTGCAGTTGATAGAGATTTGTGGTATGCACATCCATTCGTTCCACCACATCCCAAAGATGCTCTATTGGGTTGAGATCTGGTGACTGTGGGGGCCATTTTAGTACAGTCAACTCATTGTCATGTTCAAGAAACAAATTTGAAATGATTCGAGCTTTGTGACATGGTGCATTATCCTGCTGGAAGTAGCCATCAGAGGATGGGTATACATGGTGGCCATAAAGGGATGGACATGGTCAGAAACAATGCTCAGGTAGGCCGTGACATTTAAACGATGCCCTATTGGCACTAAGGGGCCTGAAGTGTGCCAAAAAAACATCCCCCACACCATTACACCACCACCACCAGCCTGCACAGTGGGAAAAAGGCATGATGGATCCATGTTCTCATTCTGTTTACGCCAAATTCTGACTCTACCATCTGAATGTCTCAACAGAAATCGAGACTCATCAGACCAGGCAACATTTTTCCAGTTTTCAACTGTCCAATTTTGGTGAGCTCTTGCAAATTGTAGCCTCTTTTTCCTATTTGTAGTGGAGATGAGTGGTACCCGGTGGGGTTTTCTGCTGTTGTAGCCCATCCGCCTCAAGGTTGTGCGTGTTGACAAATGCTTATATTTATATCAATATATCAATATATCCATATATCCATCCATCCATCTATCTATCTATCTATCTATATATAAAATAGTAATTTATTAGAAATTTAAAATACTACAATTAATAATAATAATATCATCATAATTCTACTTTAATGGATCATACAATATTACTATTTTACTGTAAAAAATATGTATTTTTATATATAATAATTTTTTATATATATAAATAAATAATATATTTTTTTATATTATTTATTTTATTTTCAATAGTTAAATGCTGTAAAAATTGATTTTGACCAGAATGGAGTACATGGTGCTGGATAAAAGCAAAACCCAAGTCACTCAAATAATTGAAACTTTTTTTTTTTTCCAATGAAACAACATAAGAGAAGATAAGAGTCTGCACATGCTAACTGAGTCCACCGGTGTAAAGCTTACCATGGTTGCTAGAGCTGGCGAAAGAATCAGTCAGTGCTCACAAAGCAGTGCAGAACTCTTCCCGTGTGTCCTCAAGAACAACACAGTGAGAGAAAACTCATTGTGTTCTCGCTGTCTTTGGAGGGCTGTTAGTCTTTCTCCGCAGGGTGATTCAAAACAAACACGATTTGGAAGAAAGGCGTATGGTTTCGATTGTTCAGAACAATATAATCTCCTCAGCCACACTTCAACATTTTCCACAGGCAAACATTGACACTCTCCAGAAAACATCCGTCATCTTATGGTTCCCTTGCGCTACTGCTTCAAATCTGCTTTAATTTATTCGGAGATTTACGTGGGCGCCTTAAAAGCTGTTATTGACCAGTCTCAACCAAATCTTCTGAGTAGAACCAGTTACATTTGGTTTTATACAGTTATACGACTTTCCCCGATTGCACCAAGGCGTAACATCATTACACAGATTAAACACTTGAAAGTCCCATTAATAGCCTTTGGCACTTTGGCTCAGCTTATGAAGCAGGGTTACTGTAGTTAACTTAAACCATAAAAAAAAACAAATCTGAGTCATTTCAAATATTGTGGGTAAATCCCTTAAAATAACATTGCTTACATGTTTACTACATTTTTTATGCATTTATTTTTTACATGTTTATGTACCACTAACCACATGTCTGTACTCTCAATAATGATTATACAATAAAAAATAAAAACATTTGTTATTAGAAATAAAATAAAATCAAAACATCCTTCATTTTTTTAATCTCAACTAGTTGCCAAGATAACATTTATCATTTTCATTTAGTTTAACTTGATATGCGGCACTAAAATATAATTAATAATTATATCGAGATTTAAAAGAAAACCTTTTCTTAAAAAAAAAGAAAGACAAACACAGAACAAAAGCACAAACAATTTAACTAACAAAATCAGAAAATCAAAATGATCATCTTAGTTATCATCATTTTAGTACCATCGAGTGTCTCGATGGTATTAAAAATTCAATTTTTTTTTTTTTTCAGATAGCTTCCAATATAACTTTTTCATTTAGTTTTGCTTGATGTACTAAAATAATTAAAACTAAAATCAAATGAATTATTAGATAAACATTTCAAAAACCTAATAAAAATGTCAAACACAGAACAAAAAAAAAAACACAAAATGAAACAAAACATAAAATGAGTTAATGTAGTGTCTCAATGATACTAAAAAACACAATTTATGTTATTATTTATATTTATTATTTTATGCATTTAATTTTTACGTTTATACTTTATCACATGCCTGTACTCTGATTGCTGATTATTTTGAAAATGCAAAAAAAAAAAATGTTTTGAAATAATAAAATAAAAATAATAAAATAAAATAAAAAAGTAAAAAAACTTAATTTATAGTAGTTCAGCTAATTACCAAGATAAGATTTATTTTATAATTTATTTTAACTTACAGTACTAAAATAAAATCAATTATTATATAGACAAACACAGTCAACAATACAATTAAAATGAAAACATAAAATATAAAATAAAAACTATAATGTGTCTCAATGATACTAAAATAATACAACTCATTTTATCCTGTTATAACTTAAGACTTGTGGTCAATATCAACCCACAAGAAATAAATTTTCTCTACAGTGAAATCACACTGAGGTTTGGCTCTTCGCCCAGTAATGGACGCACAAATACGACGTGATTCAATGCTCACAGACCCACAATGCTGAACCCAAGGTAAACCATTTAACGTCCCACAAGCCCACTCCAAACCAGCAGAACTCTTTGAGGACGGCAGTGGCGCACAGCGTCTCCAGTCAGTTCACACAAAGAGCCAGAGGCTAAACCAGCGAGAGATTAGCCACAGATCTGGGAGGTGTCTGAAATCCTACAGACTCAGCAAGACACGCGTGCAACACAGGAGGGAGCGTTATGGAGAACTGTGGGTAGAGATGTCCTCACAGAGTTGCAAATCTTGTTTTTACAATGTTACAGTCCTATATGCTGACCTTTAACAAAATGCAATGCTGTATAAAATAAGATAGCAATATTATTCTTTGAGGGCAACCAGTGGCTTGCATGCACATATGAATCACATCTGTGAGCCCTGAGTGAATATTAAAAGGAGGTTTTTCTACAAGTTATCAAAACGATGAGGCAAGATCCACCAGCCATCCAAAATTACCCTTCTCTCACCTTTGTTTGCCAAGTATTGATTTGGAAGAACTGACAACGAAATATTGCAAAAAATGCATCAATAACGGCTCATATCAGAGGGCCATAGACTACTATGCAACACGGTCATCCTCAACAGGTAATGCATTTAATATAGCTATTTTAGGAAGTCTTGAACTCAATAAATGACTGACCGTAAACGTGTACAGGAAGTCCATTGGTCATCTATCAAGTGTAAACACGAGGCTGTCCCACAGGGCGAGAAAAATAATCTATTTTTCAAAGCAAATCTAAAAGATGAGCAAACAGAAGCTGTACGCTCCTCCGAAACCTGTCGTCACGTGACCTCAGCAGGAAGAGAATATGGAAAAACCCACTTTCGCAATACCAAGTCTCGTTCGAACTCCAATCGCTGATAGTTTAGTCTTCCCCAAAACACACCCCCATATCCACACACACCCAAAACCAGCAGTTGGGTTGATCATTAACCTTATAGGTCAACAGTTGCCTGCCATCAAGAGGCCAGCCGATGTCAGATAACCACTTATGCTCTGTTCTTCTACTGAATTACACTAACTAGCGATGAGAAATTCATCCCATTGGGAGATAAATATGTAGGGATGCACCGAAAATCATCTACTGTTCACAGATCCGCTACGCTCTGCTCACATGCTCTGATAATAATGGCTTTGTAGGACTATACATTATTTAGATAATTGGTCAAAAAATAAATCTGTTAATCTGATTCTGTTGCAAAGAAAAACATATTGATGTTTAATATAAATATATTTTCTGTCCAATTTTGGTGTTACTTTTAATCAAATTGTTTGACTTGTATTTTTTAAATTCAGAAAATATTTCTAAATAGCATTTTCGGTTTCGGTTTTCGGCCAAGTTAAACCAGAATTTTCAGTTTTTGGCCTAAAATGTTTAATTTCAGCCCTAATAATACAAGACACAGCCACAAATTTCACATTTCTACAGCTAAAATGTACCTTACACTAAATTTACTTTACTACAAGGCGAATCATCTTCTGGCGTTGAAAAAAAAATACTGTCAGAATTCACTAAAGGTGTGGACAGGTTTATTTTTACAGCTGGGCGTAGTGCATATGCATTTGTAGGAGTTTCCCTTTAAGACGCAGCATTTATGGGAGGAGAATATTTAAAGGGGTGATGAACTGATAAATCAAATTTTCCTTGAGCTTTTGACATCTAAGAGGTCATCATATTATATTATAAGAATATCCTGTAAGTTTCAGAAGTGAAAACGTCCTTGTTAGTCCAATAAAAGCTTTTATTGACACAGCCTCAGCAAACAACTCATATTTCTATTTCTAGTAAATTTACTGATATTTGCACCATTCACTGGCCAAAAAAGCATGTCTTAAACCAGATACTATTAGCTGGCTTTGTCTATGTTCTTTAATTTGCATGTCATCAGTAGATCATACGCAGAACTTTCCATTTCCATCTGCACTTTTTTATGGGATTGTGCTCTCATGCTGACTTGCCCAGTTTAGTAAATCTGGGCTGTTGAGTTTTAAAATATGTGTTTTTTAACAATATCTGGTCACAAATTGGTTTTGAAGATAAATTATATAAAATAAACGCTTACGTGTCAATAAAACTGGGTATGGAAAGGACAACTGTTTGAACTACAAGCCCAATATAGTGAAGCAGAACTAGACTGAGGAGACTAGATTTGTGTCGGAAGGGAGCAAAACTCTGGTAACGCTGACTCAGCAGAGTGTGGGTTTGGAGAGGATGCAAATCAAGTCGCACAAAGTTGCTGGATATATCACTGCAAACAGCTGCAGGAGGGAAAAAAAGGTCAATTTTGCGGGTGAGAAGGTCTTTGAGTTTCCTTCGAGTAGCTTGAGTGAGTTTTATAGTATCTGTTAGTAATACTGAGCCATTAAAGACAGACCGCACAGATAATTACAGTGCTGATGTTTGTTTAGGAAGTCTGCCTGGATCTTAAATGCAAAGAATAAAAGAACATGAGAGATCTTTCTCTTGTAAAAGATGAGCACAAAAACTAAGTGAATGAATGAGGCCACTACAGATGGAAATCTAGGAAAAAATATTAACAAATGTGTACTATGGTTATACCATTAAATACCAATACATTTCTCAATATTTATTGGCATCTGTTTATAAAGTATTAGCTTCCTTTAACCTTACTACAGTCCTAAAATGTTCATACTTTAGTATTGTGCAAATAAAATGCTTAGTTTACCGTTTAAATTGTTTCATCTCAGCATGTGTATATATCAATTGCTATAAGTATTTGTATTATTAACCTATATCATATGCAAATCTCTCATCAGCCATTTAAAAAAAAAAGAAGCAAGAATCATGTAAATCCCATGGTAATTATTCAATATGTTGCATGAAAAAAAATGTGTGTATGAATATATATATATATATATATATATATTTTTTTTTTAAGTGGCTGATTAGAGATTTGCATATGATATAGGTTAATAATACAAATACTTATAGCAATATATATATATAAATACATACATATACACACATATATGCACTGTTTATATATGCTTTCATAAATTACCAGTCAAAAGTTTCCACAGGCATATTAAGCTTTGCCAGGTTTCAAAGTCACAGAATAAAATGCATTATGTTTTAACTAAAAACAACTTGCACTGACAAGTCACTGTCATTGTTTTGTCTCAAGATGCACACCAGTGATGTTTTATTCTAATTAATGTTTACAAAAGCTACTTAAATGTCCTTATTTAACAATAGCATAATCCCGGTTTAATCTAAGATCTGTCTTTGGAACCAATGAAGCACTTGACTTACGTTGTGAAGGACTGACGCCACAGCTTTGGTGAGTTCATCTGAAGTCACGGGGTCACTCATGGCCGACGTCAGGAGACTGGGGTGAAGCAGCACAGGAGACGCTGGACAACACTTAGATCTGCAGAGGCTTTAGCCTTTCTCTTTCTCACTGAGACTCAAGCAGGAGTTTATAGGCAGCATAACCTGTGAACAGTTTGAAAAGTTATCATATTTATGATCTAACAATGGTCAAACTGATACAGTGCTTAAAAAAATAGTATACTTCTACATTTATGGCATAACATGACAGTCCCCTTCATATCCAAGGATTGATAACAACCAGATTAAAAAGCCGCTACTGTAAGGACACGCAGATAAGAGACTCGCTTGAAATAAAGAACCATAAAATATTGATTGATTGATTGATACAGTTGAACAAATCTCTATCTACGAATACATTCCTTTAACTGAACACCACACAAAGATTACAACATCTTGACTTAATGACCACTTCAGGCTGAAATCAAAAAAAAAAAAAAAAAAAAAAGTCACACTTTACAATAAAGTTCGAATTTTCATATATTGTTTTTTTTTCAATCTAATTTTTTTATATTGTTTCTCTACATGTTCTTGTTCTACCTCACATGTTTTTACTATTTGTTAAATATTGCTTTTTTAAAGTTAAATAAAAGTTACTTCTATTAAATTGAGACCTGTAACGTTTGTTAACATTCAACTCAAATTTACTATTTGTAGAGCGCTTTTCACAATTCATATTGTTTCAAAGCAGCTTTACAGAAAATGCATTTCAGAAATGTAAAAAAAAACATTATATGATTTTTATGATGTAAATTGAGGGAGCAAAATTTATCGGCTCCAAATATCGGCTCGAGAAAATCGGCAGCCCGTATCGGTCATCGGCTAAGGCTGATGGGAAAAAAAAACGTATCGTATCGGCACTAAAAAAAATCCATATCGGTCGATCCCTACTAAAAATAATTCGATTACTTTCCCAACTGTTTAGGTTTACTCAAGACATAAGCAATTTGGGCAAATACACACAAAAATATGTAATATAATTTTCACTTAATTTTAGTATTCGCTTTTAATTTTAGTATTGAGCACAGTATATTATGACGGTCATGTTGCATGATTTGGATGTTGTTACGTAGGAAGGGTGACAGCGCGCCACTTTAAAGGAAAGGAAGAGTGTTTTCATAATCGTTAGAAATCAAAAATAAAATTTTAAAATCTCATTTAAAGTCAATAAATCATCTTTGAGAGCTAGGGGACCTCCTGGTGGTTCAGGGACCCTACACACCTTATGTACTTTGCATATAGGGAGGACCGGCACTGGTAGTTCACATGAACAACACTGCAAAGCAGCATTTATTAATCTTAATTTCAACATTTACTAATATATTTTTGACATTTGAAGTTATCTAGAACACATTATCTATTAACATACAGTAACAGCAACTAATGCACAATAGTCTACTAAAATTAACAAAAAATGTATTTCGCTTTGTGTACAACAAAAAAAAAAATACTCTAATTTAAAACTTCCATTTAATCATCGATTTTCAATAGAAAGAATTTTAAAAGCATTATTTTTAATTGCTAAAGTGGACACGTTAATTAGTCCTGTCTGGAAGCATCCTTTGTTTTGATGCAGAAGACAGTTGTTCAATTGAGTTGAGGTTTGACCTCTAACTGGAACTTCAAGGACGTCCACACTGTTTTTCAAGTCTTGCCTTTGTTGATTCACTTACGTTTCATTACCTCCTTTCACTGAAAGCAATAATTGTGTTTTAATCCATGCTCTCTGGCAAAAGGAGGTTTTGTGGCAAAACTTCTTGATATGTGGAGCAGTTTAACCTTTATCTGTCCTGATTCAGTTCCTGTTAAGAGCATGATGCTGAAGTTGTGGTCTTGCATCAAACATGTAAAAGTTCAGCAGCAATCTTATGAGACCATAAGAAATGCTTCCACATGGTTTTAAAAGACAATGTATATTCCAACAAAAAATTACACATTTTTATCACGAGAAAATGTAAACATTTCAGAAGCATAATCAGAAAGTAATCAGAGAATAAGGCAACGCAACCTTGTTTAAAGAGACACATGACCTAAAACTATGGTAAAGTTAATGCAGTTGGCAATAGTCACATTTGTGTTAAATTGTGTTACTCAATAATAGCAGTTACTCAAGCTTTAAACACCGATTTCAATGCACCCTTGTATATAAAAAAAATTATTCTTGCATATAAACATGTTCTCTGCATTATCTTATATTCTTCTTGCAACACAGTTCTAAGAACCTTGACTGTAATATCTTTAAGAGTCATCTAAATATAGAGCGCACTATATTGTAATGTTGCAATCAATGTCTCGTAATATGCTAAATTTAGATATAGGCTGTTCCTCAGTACAGTTACATCAACTTTGTTGGAAGGTCAACATTTCCAGCAAAGCTTTTCCGGACCAGTCGAATTCATATAAACTGCATGATTCAGCTGCTCTGTGACTGGCACATTACTCAAAATGTGTGATACAAACTGAGCAAAGTTATGAAACCTCCCCCAGGTTTCACAGACTAGGCTTTAGATAGTCTCAGATTAAAATGCATATTTGAGTTATTTTAACTGAAAGTTACATCCACTGACATATCATAAAATATGTCAGTGCCATTGTTTTGTCTCAAGATGCACACCAGTAATGTTATTTTTCCAAGTTACTTAAGGGCCCTAATTGAACTAAGGCTTAATCTACTGTAAGCCCTGTCTGTGAAACCGGACCTTTAATATTTATATTTTACAAAGAAAACTGATTTACTGATTTAATTCATAAGGTCACAGCACTGTTATATATATATATATATATATATATATATATATATATGTATGTATGTATGATAAGTTATGACATGTTTTTACTTTTTACATTGCTTTAACTAAAAAAAATAAGCCGAATCTGGTATAAAAAAGTTGAAAATTGCTTAACTTATTTTGATAAGTCAGATTAATGTAATTTAAGTTAAAATGACTTAAACATCCAAGTTGATTGTACTTAAAATGTAGCTACTTTTTTACAAAAAGTGTTGTTTAAAAACAAAGTGCCTATTTTCAAGTAGCTAGAAGTGAAAAATCTGTATGCTATAATAGTGACAAAATGTCACAAATTATGCAAGCCTGCAAGTGTCTCTAAGTATCCTAATAGCAAACAGCCTAATGATCACTTAAGCACATTTGAGTTTAGAAACTTAAAAAGGTAAAAACGATATATAAATTCTGTTCATTTTCTCACACAAACCGTTCGTTTCGTGTCTTAAGCCATCAATGTGTACTTACATTAACGAGTCATTCAATCATGTTTAATCTGGACTTCTGTGTGCATAATCTTTGAGGTGGTGACCATAGACCTCCATTATATGACTGACAGACAAGAACGGTTTGACCTAAAAATATCAAAATTGAAACTAGACACCTACATCTTGGATGCCCTTGAGGTAAGCTGAAGCATATCAAAAATTAATTTTAAAGTGAACTATCCCTTTAAAGTCATCCCACTAACTTCAACTAGAATCCCTGTATGGTTATAATTAAACAGAGACCTTAATCATCCATCATTCCCAGTTTGGGAAATCCTTTTGCTTTAGTGAAAGTCTTACTGGATTATTTTCAAGAATGTCCATAAAATATAATTTCAGACAAAGCAAAGACGGCCAATAAAGATGCCATTCTGCAAATAGACTTTCAATCACAATGTAGAAACCTCACTGAATAAATATAAAATGCTCAATGACTGAGTAGTTCAGCAAATATAGAATTTCTAGTTTACTAGCAACCAACGGCTCGTCCACATGAAAGACATGTTTGTGATTTGAATTTAAACCTCATACAGAAAAATGTTGAAAAATTGGTTTGGATCAAGAATTATATGGTGCAGCCTTAAAGATCTTGGCTGGTCACTGAAAGGTTGCAGGGTTAAAGCTTTGACCCATGTTTGAGATCAAAACTAAAGCTCAAATTGTTCCAAACAAGTCCCTGTAACAGGGTCAAAACACATCTGAGAAAAATATTGGATAAATCAAGCCTATAACTAATTTCCAAAATTGTAAAAGTTGAACACAACAATAAAACAAATAAAAGAATATGTGAATAAGATGCACTTATAAAAGAAGTCTATGGGACTGTTTTATGGATGTTTAAAGTTGTTTTTACCAAAGTACAAGCATAAATGATTACCAATAAGTCACAAGTTCATATTAATAGCCAATCAGATGTTTCTAATTTTTAAATCTTTTTCATTTATTAATTTACAAGGCATGTTCAAAACTACATTACAAGGCATATTTTTAGGGGATGTATAATAAAGACGTTTTGTTGCATTCAAAAACGGCTAAACGGAACGCAGCGAATTGGAAAAAATGTTTTTAAAAGTTGAACAATTTATTAGCGTGACGCAGCAGATTCTGGCACGGTGCAAATTTTATTTAGCCAAAGACGTTCATCTGAATATCTGAATGTAAACAATAACACGATTCTGGATAAATTGAGGATCATGATTTTTTCAGATCAGAGATCACGATACTGAACAGACAAAATCAACAAAAACACAGAATTTACTAGCAGTTCTGACAAAATTTTAATTGCTGCAGTCTGTTTAAAATGTTAAATTAACTGGAATAATAATAAAAAAAATCAGATTGAATGAGTAATTCAATGGCTTTCATAAATGTATTTTTCGCTAAACCATTTTTAACAGTCACTTGTCGCCACCTACTGGTGTAACAATGAAATTGATACAATGGGCTCTATGCGCGGCGGTATTTCCGGTGAAGGTGTAAGGATGCTCGATAACTTCCGCCGATCGTAGAGTCCAATGCAATACAGAGAATTTATATTGAATTTTATACTCTATGGTTATACTAAAGAAATGTTAGTCACAAAAACAGATAAAACAGACACAAACAGGTGTGTTTATGCTTCTTTTTAAAATTATATTAAATAAACGTAACTATATATAAAATTACATCTAAACGTATATACGTTTCGTTTCAAAGATGGGAGGACAGTAAATTTTGAAGACTCCATAATCCCGTTTTCCTTGGTTTTCCTCCGCTTTAATCTCCACAACCGGAAATGGACGAGCATCCTTACGTCAAATGCGGAATTTATTTGAAGGGTCAAGTTACTTTCGAAAGGTGATTTGCTCAATTTTGAACACTTACATAGACATCAGTGTTTATTTTATTCAAACTATAAACTCATCTCAGTACTTGAATATAATTGGAATATTTGTAAGACGGAAATAAATTATACAATGTGGAAAAAAAAAACTTGTGAAGCTGCTTCATACCCACCGGTATACATGACAAACTGCCCTCTCTGGATCAACGGCAGCGCCAACACAGATATGAATGGTCCGTTGTGATTTTGTCCAAGGTTTAATAGACATGACCAAATCGTTGTCATTTAGGAATGTGATTGCGATCTTTTAACGATTAATCACGCAGCTCTGATAACAACTGTTCAGCTATTGGACGACTAGTCAATTCGACCATTGCGACCCAACACGATGAATTACAATTAGTATTTTACACTAAGCAACTTGATAATACAGATAGAGCAACTGTATCATATACCAATTAAGTACTATCATCGACAAAACCAGACTTTTGGAGAACAAAAATAAAAGCTCTTTTTCATTTTGTATAACGAAACGTATTAAACCCACTATGGCGCTGAACGCTAGAGATGATCATTGCTGTCATGTTTAATGACTTTATCAAACTCACAAGACACGCCACACAGCCTCTGGGCTGTAAGCACACAGATCATTAACCAATTAGATTCAAAAGTTACTTAAGTGGAAAAATAAAAGTACACACTATATGATGACAAGGCAATATCAGCAAAACTGGACTTTTCACTGTTGACTTTGCAATGTCTTGTGATCCGTGGTGATATGCTGACTTTTGAATTTCACTTCTAGGTGCAAAGTAATAAATTAATCATATAAACGGTTAATTTGGAAAAGTTTTATTAATAATAAACAAATAGTATATGTACTTACCATTTAAAAAGTCATTCGATTTGAAGGTAAACTAGCATTTACCAAACCACATCGATTTTTAGATATTCTTAGAAAACATATGCAAAAACATCTAAAACAAAAGTCTGTTTGATCAATTCAAATTATAGAATTATCACCAACTGTTAAAATAACTACACAAAAACAGCCAGTACTGACTTTAAAGAAGCATGATGCAAACCCACTGAAAGTCTTAACATACCTCAAAGTGCTTACTGCAGAGAAGCCGCCGCTGACATCTTAGTGTAAAGCCAACAGCCACTGTGTACAGAGAGAGAGAGAGAGAGAGAGAGCTGAGTGAACTTATAAAGCACGCAGCGTTGCCTTCACACACTCAAACTCTAGTACTGATGGGTCAAACGTTTCCTCTGCTGGATTAGGTTTCCACCCCTAAACCTCTGACAGCCGGCCATGTGACCACTGCTCAACAGTGAGTCAACTGTGACACACACACACCCATATCCTCACATATACAGCACACTCACACACCTCATACCTATCTGTGTTTTAAATGATTAATACAGACGTTTCAACAATAAATCTCTCATGTAAGGAAATGTTCAAGGACACTTGTTAGACACCACTCTATCTTTTCATCGCCTTAGGAAATAAACAACACTATAATATGACAAAAAAAAATATTTAGTATTTACCAATGGTTGGTTTCACCAAAAGATGTTGTTTAATCAGAAAAGTGCCTTTATTTGATATTCATGAATAAAATTGAATAGAGATGTTGAATCGAATCTTATCCTGTTATCCGTCACACCCCCCTTTTTTTGGAATAGACATGAAAATGCACATTTCGAAATTAAATGGTTGTAATTCAAGAATGCTTTGGAATATAGACATATGATTGGTCTTGTTTTAAAGAAGACATTTGGCAGATTTTTGTGAAATAAATTAAAAAAAAGTGAAACAGATAAAAAGTTATTGAAGTTTATGGAAATGTACAATGTAAAAATATTAATTACTCATATTTTACATAAAATCTATATATTTTCAAAACCTGGGCTACTCTAAAACATAAATCTTATTTTTTTTTTCTTTATATTTCAAACTTTTCAGACCTTTTTTTTCCCAAAATAATTGAATGGATGCTATCTTTTGAACTTTTGGCATGAAAATAATCTGAGGTATCTACCATTTTTTCATGATTTTTCATATTCACTGCTATTTTAAAATAAACTGAACAAGCCTTATGAGTGTGAAAATATTCTTGTTGCAAATTGATAAATTATGTAATTTATTTTAAAAATCAGTCACCAAATATGGAAACTAGAGATTGTAAGCTTTCAAATGATATATAGTTTGTCAATATTACTTAAGGTATTTAATAAGATATTACAGTTTTAAAAATATAGTGGCAAACGTCCCACCTGTGGGACGGTCACAGTCAAGGTTAACCTGAGTGACATTATTATTGATAAAGGCATTAAGGATTCTATTATTAAGCATTCTATTCTATTCTATTCTATGTTTCTGATTTTTAACAAAATGACTAGTGGTCATTACATAACAATTATATGCATTATGTTGTTTACATTATGATTCTGATTTATTCCACAGACTCAGGCCCCGTCCACACTACTGCGTTTTCGTTTAAAAACGGAGACCTTTTGCTACGTTTTTGCACCTCCCGTCCACACTAAAACGGGAAAAACGAAGACCTAAAACGGAGAAGTTTAGAAATGCTGCAGCTGCGTTTTGCGTTTTGAATCTCCGGAGGGTGTTTTAGTGTGGACGAGACAAAACGGAGGAGTTTACAAACGATGACGCAGAGGCTCACGCTCGGCTCTATGATTGGGTGTCATCAGTCATGACGTATATTTCCCTGATTCGCCAACCACTGTTTACACCGGCGCGCGCATGCCCAGTGTTGGTGAATGGTCACGTGATCCACATTTTCAGTCGTTTTAGTGTGGACGGGGATAAATTCTAATACGCAGGTAAAACGCTAGTGTGGACGGAGATCGTTTTCGTTTTAATTCTCCGTTTTTAAACGAAAACGCAGTAGTGTGGGCGGGGCCTCAAAGCAACATCTATGGACAACCAGAACATTACAAATAAATATTGAGCCATTAAGTAACCACCTACGAATCAACCAAAACACCCTAAAATAAATGGAGAAAAAGTGTCCCAGGCCCAGAAGCAGTTTTTGCATCTCCTTCAATTAAACTGTAGAACTAAATATCAGTGGATTCATGGGCACATGTGTACAAAACATTGAACTTGCTCTAAACCTTTTAAGTCAATAACTGAAGTTGCCAAATATGTCTGCAAGTATTTGTTTGAACCAATAGCCAAGTGTGTGTGTGTCTGAGTGTACCAGCATGAGTATGTGTCAGTGGGAGTCACATGGTCTTGGATCAGCCCAAAGGCCACTGCTGAGAATTAAAACTTTAGTCTGCTTCAAAGCTTGGGTTTTGCTCAATCCTCAAAAAAGCATCAGGAATAGAAGAACTTGGATTACTAAGTGACCTTTATGGAAACTTTTATTCAAATCCAAAACGCCAATGTCTGTTGGCACATTTTTACAAGTTCGCACAAGACAGGACCATACAAAGATGGAAATTCCTCACTGATTCTGATGGATGTGACTCCCTCATAACTGAAATAGTCTGCTAACAAAGGGTTTCAAAACGGTCATTTAAATAGGTTTGTCATAAGAATGACAAACAGAAGGGTCTCCATTCACAACTCCCACGATATAGGGTGAGGCTAGACACTGAGGAATCTGTTAACATGTAATGGTCGACAGTCCATCTGACTAATCTCTACAGACAGTCAACGTTTGAAGTGGATCAAAAGTTAATCAAAGTTGTCCTAAGACCAGAACGGGTATTGTTCAAAATGTATAACTTTGATGAAGGGTTTTGATCCACTTCACAACTGTAGTATCACCATAGACATTCTACAGGGACTTTTAAAATAAAACTATTGAAGATACAACTAAAAACCTGGGGATGTGCCAATATTAAAATGTTTGATAGCCATTAACCATGCTAAGGCCATTAACTGATAAATGTGACATTTAAACTGATTCTCATGTTAATCTGTTATCTGATCAAATTGGCCTACTTCATGCTACTGACATGCTTTTAAAGCGACTGTTTTTGCCTTCAAAACGCCTTAAAATGGACATGTCAAGATCAGGAAAACCACAATTTGCATTCCCCCAGTGAAGGATAACACTTCTGAAATCTCTGTGTAAACAATGAGTGACGTACGCACGTGAGAGATCACTTCCAGCGCGCTTGTGATGCGACTGTGATTACAAGAGGTAAAAACGATATAAATACTGTTCGTTTTCTCATACAAACCGCTCGTTTCGTGTCTTAGGCCATCAATGTGTACTTACGTTTACGAGTCATTAAATCATGTTTAATTTGGACTTCTCTGTGCATGCTCTTTGAGGTGGTGACCATAGACCTCCATTATATGACAGACAAGAACGGTTTGACCTAAAAATATCAAAATTGAAACTACTGTGGAAACAAAGACACCTACATCTTGGATGCCCTTGAGGTAAGCTAAAACATACCAAAAATTAATTTCAAAGTGAACTATCCCTTTAAGTCATTTTGAATGATGACCATTTAACCACTGTATACACACACATATATTATGTAAGCACTGACTTTGATGTTAAGTAAGTAGCCATTAACTTTTGAACAAAAAAACTAAGGATACACTGATATAAAAATGTCATTTTAATTAAATAAAAATAAAAAATAATATAATTGTTTAAAATATAATATAAAAAAAATATTTAATATAATATAAATATAATATAAAAATAAAATAAAATAAAATTTAATTTAAAAAATAATATAAAAATAAAAAATAATTCAATTTAATTCAAATAAAAATCAATCATTTTCAATCATTCAAAGTATGCCTAATCTCAGACAGACCACTGAAAAACCAGCAGTGGCAATCTGATTGGACGGCTGCTAAAGTACTTTCCAGGATTTTATCAGTTTACAAGTCCCCAGGCCGCTACAATTAGCACCTCTGAGCAATTACTAGCCACTGGATGTGCCAAAGTTTGTGGTTACTGTGAAAAAATACTGATGAATGGGACAATATAAAAAGAAAGCAAGTGTTATATGATATATTCAGGGCTTTAGTATTTAAATATGCTAATTCCATAACATGCATTGGATACATGATACATTTATGCACACCAACATGCGAGGTTCAAATAGATTGATTTGGGATGGACATCTATGATGCCAAAACAGTCATTTTATGTTTGGTCTTGACTTGTACGTCTGGGCTGCACGTAACGTTACATAATTTTTCGAACAACAATCTACCGTTGACACATCAATCTTTAGTCGACACATTTAAAGCTCTGGTATAACGAGCAGCCAAGAAAAAGTAAGTAAAAACCTGCTGAAAACAGCACATCCTTCATGGTTTTCCTGTCACAACATTAACTTTTCATTGTCAGCAACTGCTCTAGTCATGATAAACAGGGAAGTGAGTTCAAGCAAATGCAGGAGAATGTCAAAACATTGGGAAATGAAGAGAAGCTATTGCCTAACCAGACAGCGGCATGCAAAATGCAAGATCAAAATGCAGATGCCTCTCGAATCTAAATTGTACGAAGAGTGACGACAACATCCAAAACTACAGATAACGGAAGAACATTACTGCGTTTCTCAATGGTGGTTATTAAACGATATATTAAAACAAATCAAGTGAGTTCACTCCTACAGTCCAATGCCAGTCACGGTTCGCAGTGCTCCAGAACCAGATTTCACAGCGACCTGGTACTTGGCTAGACTTGTCTTTGGCACAACAGTGTAAAGTTCTACATTGGGAATGTTTGAGAGACATCTCCATAGCCACAAACCGACAAACCGCTAACACTGGGAAAGTGGATTAAAATGTAACAAACAAAGAGAATATGGAAGATGCATGCTGGGTTTCGCTTGAAGCCACTGTTTTGGCACAAACACTGTAAACTTTCAACAGATTTCACAGCGCGTGGCGGATCATGACCCAGCCATAATCAAAACCTTACAAACATCTGGGTTAGATGTAGTTAACGGTTCTTAAGTGGTTTCCTGAGGGTTCAGTTTTCAATTGCGTGGAACATGAGATTTGAATTGTGTCATTCCTCAAAATTAGTCGTATCATTAGTTTAAAGGCCCACCAAAGTGCAAACACGCAGCCTTATTCAATGTGTTGACGTAATTGCCACTGTAACAGGAAGATGGACATAGGAAGTGGGACATATCAAATCTAAATCGGTGAATTGGTTGATCCAGTTTTTTTTTAAATATTCATTTATCGGCCATTATAACTGCCGATACCGATATTTTGGAAAATGCCTAATATCGGCCGATAATATCGGTCGGCCGATATATCGGTCGACCGATAGTGGAAATCTTAAAAACGCTCCACCGCCGCGTTCCCGTGTGAACGGTAAAAACGCAAAAGTCTGCTTGACAGTGATGGTTGTACGCAACCGCGTGGACTTGGTGGTGTTGTAGTATGTACTCCTAGCCGCCTGAAGTGCATACTACATTGAATTTCACACACTTTTGCGTCACCATTTGCACGCGGATTTCCCACACAAAACACTCGTCTAAACGCAGAATAAAAAGTGATGACGCAACGCCACTTTTGCGTTTCCTCTTCAGAATCGTTTCCGTGTAAACATAGCCTTAATCCTATACCCAATACCTAAACTTAACAACTACCTTATTTTATTGAAGTAAGATAAAAGAGTTTATTGAAGCAAAAGTCATAGTAAATAGTTAGTTAATAGTTAAAATTGGACCCTAAACGAAAGTGACCTTACTTTCAAAATTTTACAGCTTCATAAAACAGAAGTGCTGCGCTACAAAAAAAAAAAAAGAAAAACGTGTTTACGAATGATTCCCGATGTGCAAGACAGAAACTACAGGAGCCCAGGTGAGATTCAAACAGCGGTCCGCTAAGCTCATTTAATTATCACTTCAAGACTAAACAGCCCTGGGACAACTTTAAAGGGTAAATGTGTTTTCTCTGCAGACCATCAGCAGGGGTTTCACACACTCGGGTTACCAAAACACAAAAGCTCCGTCTGAGTTTCTCACACTCTTTGTGTTTAACTTGGAGCAAACAATCACATCTTTGTAATATGACAGCAGTGAACAAACCCAACAAAGCAAGTTCTGACCAGAGGAACACTGTCATTCATACCTTCAGTCACACCAAAACCAACAATCACAATGAAATATCGAACCAGCTCACGACAATGTGAGTACAATAACACATATCCTGGGAAACACAGTATTGTAAAAACCACATAGGAGTCCCTGGTCAAGTGTTAGGTCACGCTACCTGAGGAGGGCCTATTCACCAAAGAGCCATGTCAGATTTGGTATACGTGAGAAGGACAACGGTCTTAAAAATATTTTTCAGGTGATTAGCGTCGCCAGCTGGGCACACAATTACAAAAACACAATGCAGAACTTTTGAAAGTAAGCTTGACCCTGCATAGAAATAGCAGCCTAACTTACCTACGATGTGTGTTTTCTTTTGAAACGTAATCCAGAAGGGCTAAAGAAACTAGTTTCCAGCTGATCTGCTCTGGAATGCTAGCAGGAATAAAGCTCATTTCATTTTATCATTACTACACTGTAAAAATAAATATATATATATATATATATATATATATATTGTTGGTTTAACTTAAAAAAAAAAGTAAGTAACCTGGTTGCCTTAAAACTTTAAGTTCATTGAAATGGAAAAATTGAGTTAATACAATGAAGGAGATTAATTTAATCACCAGAAACCAACCAGCATTTCAGATGAAAAACAGATTTAATAAAGACAGAATTGCATCTTCCTCTCATAATGTTTACCCGTTTAAATAAAAGAAAATGAACAAACAAACAAGCGGATCAAAATGTTCAGAGGACACTCCATCTTTACTGGACCAGATAAAGAAAGTAGTACAAAGAAAGGGCTCGGCAAAATGTCTATCGTTGGAGAAAATTTCATGATATCATGAACTACAATATGTCAAATCTAGACAGAAGAATTTGGTCATAGATATCATATCACCCACCCCAAATCAAAGATATTTCTCTCTTCGCTCTATGCTGTAATCTGCACCGATTTACTGGCATTATGCCTTAATCACATTGCAAAAACAAAGGCAAAGTTTCACATTTAAAGCTTGCAAATACTGGTTCGACCAAGTCATTGCTTTGTTCCTCTAAGAAATCTGACTCCTTGATGGCTTTATAACACTGATCTGAGCTAAACCCAGCTGACCAACGGTAACAAGCACAAACCAACCACAGCAGCTTAAAGATTCAAGCTTTATAAACAAATGATTGTGTCATTCTTCTGACTACAACTAGACCACAAATTGTCTACCTACAGCCTAAATTCATATGTGAGTCAACACAGAATATATATACACATATCAAAACAGTAACCTATATCTAATATAATATATTAACCCATCTGTCTGACTATGGTTTAACTTTGAGATATTTTTTTATATATTATATGAAAATATGAAATTATCCGACAGAGATAGATAGATAGATAGATAGATAGATAGATAGATAGATAGATAGATAGATAGATAGATAGATAGATAGTCAGTTAAACTTGTTTTGTTTTACAGCGAAATATAGCTAGATATAAATATACATTTCCAGACACTATGTATAAACTGTGTCTGTACTCAACTACTATATTTAAGTGTGAAGTCACTGGAAGACTTCCTTAGTTTCCTTTTCAGCGGTGTTTCAGTAACTGAATATTTTCCCCGTGGATATCACGTGGCAGTGTGGGTTTTCGGTGTATGTCTGTTCACTCCCGTTTGACAGCAGTCCAGCGACCACGACTCACAGAAACGAGCACACGATACGGAAGCAGGCGGTTTGGTCATTACAGGACACCGTTTTCTCAGCCCATGTTCATTTAAGATTTCCCGGTTTAAAGTTATTTCAATTGAGCGCTAGCGCAAGCTAACTGTTCACCCGCACCGACTCGCGTGCACGCGAACAGGTCTGATAATCACTTTTCCTGCGCCCGGACACTTTAAACGTGGGAAATGTGAGCGGAATCCCGAATGTTACTCACAGGCTGCTCAAATATAAGTGTATTAAAAACTAAACATGTCCGAAGTGTTTCTTACCTCAACCGAACTCCCCTTAGCGTCCACGGATGAACCACATCTCATCTGATGCGCGCGCGCGCCTGCGTGTCGTACATATTTCGACTCGGGATCTCCTTCCCTGTTCACAAAAAAAAAAAAAAAAAAAAATACAACAGGCTTTTATTAACATTTTATGCATGCCCCGCACACGTCAAATGATAGATACATAATTCCCAAAGCCAACCTTTTATTCATGCAAACCAGCCTTATATCTATGTAAACTACTAAATTGATATTGACAAAATTATTAAGACGGATGATGCTTATATTACTGCATTTTAAATAAATACATGTACCAAGCAAATGTTAAAAAAATTTAACAAACAACATTTTTTCCTTCAATTTATGGGAACTTAATATCAATATGTTTTTAAAAAAAAACTTAAAACCAACATAAAATGTTGGTGCAGAATCATACAAATGTTTAAACTGAATCATACAAACTCTTTAAACTTTGACGTAACCTACATTTTAGTAAAATTGTTGCAAAACCAATTAGAAATGATGGAACAATACAATGGGACTGGCTCATATAAAATTAAATTTGACAGTTAACATTTTCTAAATTTAAAGCTCATCGATCATTTGACTGGCCATCTCTTCAAAAATAAAATAAAATTACTTTTTTATATTATATTATTATTTACTTGTTGGCCAAATATGACATCTGCCGGACACTAATACTTATTGCATGTCAGAAATAAAATAAACCTCATAGGAAAATGGAAATTAGTTGCTTTAGTAGACAAAAGATAACTATGATTCGTTATCCGAGCGTGTGAATGGTAAATGTTTTTGAACTCCACTGAGTAGAGACGACGTACCTGCTCCTTTAACACATTCAGACGAGCTTTGATTGACAGGTACAGCTAACAGCTAATGGTGCTCAAGAGGCGTTTCCGAATGTCAGTCATCCAATCAGCGTCGAGCGTACAGTCAGGACGAAAAAAAAACCCGTGACGTAAGCGGTCACCATTCTACTGTGCGGACAATCAGTAAACACCGTCTGCAAAGTGACAACAAACCGCAATATCGAGTATTTTTGAGGATATAATACAATCATGGACACATCGGTAAGCGGAAACTATGGTTAACGAGAATCGGCAATGCTTTTGCAATGTTATTGCATTGCAATATTAGCTTGTCCGACATGGATAAAACATGATAAACTGTGATACGTGCATTAGTTTCAATAGAACAGCATCAAGTAACTTACAGCCTTTTATTATAATCTCGTTAAGATTTTAGTTATACAGTCATTGTTACTGTAACTCTAAGATTACGAGGAAATTAAAGTAGGCCTAGGTCTGCGAGGAAAGCCTCTTGAGACCTTTATTACAAACATTGAAAATAATATCGGGCATTGTGCATGGCCTTCTCAAATATATAGACTAATGACAAATATAATCAAATAATATAAACAATTCTCATTTTTACGTGTTCTTCAAGTAGGCCTAGCTAAAACTAAATCGTCTATTTTAATGCACAATAACTAACGTTAATAATATTTTTGTTATGAAGAAAGTTTCTTGCTTTCAGAATACAATAGCTTAATATATCAATCGTACATAAATATAATTTTTCGTTGCCTCAAACTATGTCATGATATCAAACTATAAGAGGGAAAGTCCACTGTGATATCTGTGGTGACAGCATTAGTACCGTGGTGTGCATGATAAATGCTACGAGAATATAATAGAAGTTCGTGTTTATTCTCAGCGTGAATAAATAATACCTTTGCAATGGATTTCATAATGTTTTCTTGTTATCTAGACCATAGGGGGGTTCATCAGCACTCTCACTGAGATGGGCTTCAGTGAGGACCAGATACAGGCAGCGATGCAGGCAGGATTCTTCTCTGTACCAGAAGCGGCTGAATGGTAAATGTCTTTCAGGGTGTTGTTTATATATTTCTGAATAGTGAAATAGGTTTAAAGGGATAGTTCACTTTGAAATTATTTTTTAGCTTACCTCAAGGGCATCCAAGAGGTGTCTTTGTTTCCGCAATAGTTGTCGTTCTTCGGTCTATGGTCACCACCTCAAAGAGCCTGCACAGATAAGTCCAAATTCAATATGATGTAATGACTTTTAAATGCGAGTACACATTGATGGCCTAAGAGGCGAAATGAGCGGTTTGTGTGAGAAAACAAACAGTATACTATTTATATCGTTTTTACCTCTTGTAACTACAGCCACGTCCAAGTGATCTGAGGGCATGGGCGCTTTGTGGCTGGGGTAACAAGAGGTAAAAAAAAATTGAAACTACTGCCGCAGAAACAAAGACACCTACATCTTGGATGCCATTGAGGTAAGCTAAAACATACCAAAAATCTATTTCCAAGTGAACTATCCCTTTAATTGGTTATGATTTACCAAGAAACAAATGTGGTTTTAAAATGTGATGAAAGTAGTCATAGGTTGAATACTCTCCTGTTTGGTTATTAAGCAAAAGCTTCTCCAGCTCTCTTATTTATTCTCACAATTGCTCTGAAGGCTTTTGCAAGGCGGTAGTCCACGACATAAACTAGTCAAGCAGCCTTCAGGTCCTCTAGAAACAGCGTTTTCTGCATTCAACCCTCCCAAAGATGCTCTTTGCTACAACAACAACAACTCACAGTCTGAAGCAACAGGTAAAAAAAAACAGCAGTTTGTTCATTTACTCATTTGTGTGACAAACTGACTTCTTTCACAAGAGGATTAACAATCTGCTGGGAAGGAAAATTTGATTTACTGTGTAAATAATCTCTGACTCACACAGGTCATGTGATTTTGTGCATAGTGCATCATTAGCAGATGTTAATGCAGATTTCTGAAATGTTATGCAATGCAGAGGAATGCATTATCAGCTTTTTTTCTGCTTTTAGGTCCCTCTTTAGTCTTGGCACCTCCTTCCGCAAACAGTCCCGGAGCGAAAGAGCATCCACCCCTGGAAACGCGGATCAAGCAGGATAAGAGTAATTTCCACGAGCAGCAGAGGCAACGAGTGGCCCAAGAGGCACAGCTAGAGAAGAGACAAAAGAAGCAGGTGAATCAGTGAAAGGTTTCATATTTTTACAGTAAAGTTTCATAAACAAGGGTTAGTTCACCCAAAAATGTATTTAAATAATGTTTTAATAAAGGGAATGCGCGTGACGTCACCGTCGGCCTGCAGTTCCTCACAGTGAGTGGCAAAAAGACTGAGCGGCTGTATGTGTTCAGCGTGAATGCCGCCAAAAACAAACACACCACACACACAAATAAAGTGGGAAAGAGCTTTGCGATTGACTGTAGGCCTACAACTAGATTTGACAAAACATCGGAGGTATATTTTTACAGACTGCTATAGAAAGATGAGCAAATGGATCGCTGCAATTCACAGAAACAACTGGACTCCAGTCAGCGAAAGGTGGATTTGCAGTTATCATTTTGTGTCAATATGCTGAATTTAGCTGTAAAACCATACCCATATATTTTGTATTGTTATATATACATTAACAACTCATCAATTAAATATTTATCATTGCATAATCTGCATTATTGAATGTTTTTTTAATAAACACTGACCAAAAAAACGTATAAAGTTTTAGGGCTAGACGATATGATGATATATATAGGCTATATAACACTGATATAAGTGATCGCCCGGATTTAGACCTACCTATATTATATTTATATAAAGCATTCACAGGCAAATTTGCTTTATGTTTAGGTGCTTTTATTTCCCCGGTGTCGAAATCAGGCAAACATAAATGTCAGGCAACACGATTCCTGGCTGCATGTCAATATCCATGGATCACTGGATCTTTAGTAAGTTGTAAGAAACACTATATTGAGTCCAACATTTGATAAAATTGTTCGATTTAGTCGCATTTCCGCAGTTTGCCCTATTAAATCCAGTCACGCAGCAGATCTTTTGCCACTCGGTCAGGCTGAGGGGGGTTGTTCCGGCGGGAAAGTCACGTGTCAATGCATTCCCTCTATATCAAATATAGATATAATACCATAAAGAAGTCATCAAGCAAACAAGAACATTTGAGTGCCATCTGTGTTTTTGCTCCATCTGCCCTCACATTTTCTTGCTCTGCGAGGTCACTTTTGGTTCCCCGTGCTGTAACAGTTTGTCCTGTTCAGGAGCGTGAGTTGGTACTGAAGAGGATAGCAGAGGACCGGCGCAGTCAGCAGGAAAAGGCCCAAACTGAAGCCACAGCTGAGACCTCTCCATCCAGCGGACAGGGACAGAGACTGGGTGGACGTGTGGAGACGAGCGTGGACAACCACTGCATCCTCATGGTGAGAGATTATTTTTCCCCTCTGCTTTCTAACAATGATTTTTTTTTTTTTTAATCTGTCTGAAATGTTTGTACTTGTTTTGTGTCATAGATCCGCCTCCCTTCTGGGGAATCAATGCGTGAGCGTTTCCCTGCAGACACTCCCTTAAGTCACGTCGTCGAGTTCATTAGCGGTCGCCACCCATCACTACCCGCCTTCTCCCTCCTGCAAGGGTTCCCTCGCAAGCGCTTTGGTGAAACCGAGCTATCCTGCTCCCTCCGGTCTCTGGGACTGACCCCCAACGCTGCACTTTGCATTCAGACCACGCCCCCTGAGACGCCACAGGACCCGCCCAGTCCAGCATCCGGATTGGCTCCTGTAGGACAGCCGGAGGCGGAGCCACAGGAAGAGCCGGTGGCACCGCTCAATGAGCCACCCCGAGTGGAGGCCGAAGCTTTAGAGGAACTGGATGTGCCCCCACCGCTGCCCCATCAGCTGTGGGAGGAAGCAGTGGGGTATGCTGGGATTCCTGGGGTCGAACCTCCACTGTCAGGACCCTCTCACTTCTGGGGTAAGATTTACCGGTACTTTACTTGAACTCATTTGTGAATGCACCACGCAGTGTTATTTTAGTATTACTATTAAAATTATCATTGAAATATTTGTATATTTTCAGTTTTTGTTTTAATTATGTTTTTGCTATTTTTATTAAATATTATACTTTATTAACAGAAATCAACAAAAATGTGTTTAATAGTTTTAGTTTTCCCCAGCTAAAATTATTACTAAAATTATTTGTGCAGACATTTTTTGCGTTTAGTTAAAAGATAGTTTTAGTTAATAATATTAACCCTGCCCTACACACACATTCTGTAATTAGACATTTTCATCCGACAGGACGAGGCCAGAAACTGGTGCAAGGTGATGCAGAAGATGAGGAACATTTAGAAAACGATGAGCAACCAGAAGAAGAAGTTGTACCTCCATTTCATCTCAACGGTACATAATGGTTGTTCTGGGTGGTTTCTTGATGGTTTTGCCCAGGTCTCTATGACATACTGGTCTATGGTTTGAGTTTCCCTGTAAATCTATGAGATTTTCACCACTTTTATAGTGTTTGATCGCTTAGAAAAGTTATAGCCACACTTTGAGGTACTACCTTTTACTCGCCTGGTGTGGCTGCAGGTTTGGGTACATAAAAGCCGGTCTCAAATAGAGGCCAGGTATGTTTTTTAGTAGGGCTGGGTATTGACACAAATTTCACAATTCGATTCGATTTCGATTCACAAGCTTGCAATTCGATTCGATTTCGATTCAATATTGATTATTTTGGATATCAGTTATAATAAATGGCAAATGTTCTCAAGGAAATCAAATCTCTTAACTAATGCTGTAAACTATGGGAGTCTAGTTGTAGCCAATAGGCTTCATTAGCCTAATATGAAGGTAATAATGAACTGTTTTGTAGCTATACAAACACTTAAATTACACTTTTATTTATTTTATAATAGGAAGATTATATGAAATATAAACATTTAAATGGTAGCTGTCATAAAAACTTGCCAGATTTATTCAAATATGCATGAAATATTGAAGAACATTAAGATTATAATGCATATGTAATATGGTGTATATATTTAGCAAAATGCTCCTCTCTAGAGTTATTTTTTCTAGCTGACTAACGAGTTTATGTGGGTTTTCTGAGGTAAATATGACAATGACATTGATTACAAGCTGTTTAACTGACGTCTTTCCACGGTTGAGCGATTGAGCGAATCAATGTGACATGATACGGATTTCGATAAGTTGTACTCTATCTTTTAACACACTTTCAGATGCTCATTCATGTTTATTTCACGCTGTAACTGGTATTATTAAGCCGGAGGAGAGATCAGCGCTGCTGCTTCTCTTGAGCTGCGCCAGAGCGATCTCACGCCACAGCGCCAAAACGTTGTTTATGTTTTTGAATTTCTAAAGAAAATGGACGTAATTTGAAAATTGAGACTTTGTTTCATGTCAATAGTAACAAAGGACAAAAATTATTGCGATTTTTTTTTGGATGCGCGCAGCCGCGATACAATGTTCCACTCATTCAAATGAAACAGGATGACTAATCGATTCTTGAGATTTAAGAATCGATATCGGTTCGTAAAAATGAGAATCGATTAGTATCGAGAAATCGATATTTATTACCCAGCCCTATTTTTTTGTTTCAGGTTGCTAATCTTCTAAAACCGTCTGATTGTCCGCTTTTTGGCGGCCGCCAAAGCAAATTTTTGTTTGCGCACGCACTCTCACGTCTTCAAACAACACAAGGGCAGTCTTGCTTTCTCCCTCGCGCATATTAATCAAATCAATTGACACAATAGTAAAAGGTCGGAAGACCGCATTTTCACGTGGAGCATTTAGAGACTCAATGAACAACATCTCAACACTAAATTATAAAGGCCTGTCTCACATAGACGCCTGTCTCAAATACAAGCTGGTGCAGTTCGACGTTTTGGGGAAAAAAAAGCCCGGGCTATTATTTGATGTTTTACGGTATTTATGTTTGTTGCACGTTGCAGGACGAGTTAGGTGCCGAAGTTAAATACTTATGGTTTGGGGTTTGTTCCAAGTATGAGAATTAATAATTGTGAGTGGCAAAATTAAACGTGAAAAGTTGTTTCCCAATGATTGAGTCATTACAATTAGCATTGGCTTGATTACAGTCACCTCTGCTTTGGACATCGAAGATAAAACACGCACTTTAAGCTACAATCAAAGGGAATTCCTTTTAGAGGCCGTAAACCAAAGATGTTGATGTGAACGGGCTAAAAAGCCATGTATGCTGCGTTTTGAACTCCAATGAATCAGAAAAGGCCATAATCTCTCAATAGAAACAGAAGGACGACAGGAATGTTAATGAATGGACAAAACATCCAAAGAACTGGCTTTATCAGCTCTCACTGAATGATTCTGCAAAAGCTTAGTTGATCAAATAAATGGAAGTAGATGCCTGACTAAAAAATACTAGTTTAGCTGTTTTGTTTTTAATCATTTAGACACGCTCTCAGTCCAGCTTTGCTGAACGTTCCCAGAATGTGAGTTTTTGGTTGTTTAAATATAAAACCTAAAAAGAACATTCCTTGAATATTAATTCTTTCGTTAGGAGAATGATCTGTGTTTGCCGGGATGTAACAGATCATATGTGTATTATTAGTGATCTGAAACCATTGCTGCATTTTTTGGACTGCTGACTCAGAGATCTTTGTTCAGTAACCCTGCATTGGGGTTGTAGTCAGTGACCAAAGTGTGAGAAACACTGGGAAGTCCATATTGGGTAAGAGGTTAATGCCCGCCCTTGTCCTAGTTTAGAGCCATTTATAAGTAAAAACCCATTCACCTCGTTCAAATGATGAAAAACGCAACAATTAATCAAGCCAGGTCTCATGTGTCTGACATAGCGCTCTTTTCACTGGAAGTTTAATTTCGGGGGATTTCAGACACGCTGGGAGAGAAAGCAGCTTTGGACATCGTTTTGAGATGCTGTGAAGTCGACGACGGGAGATCATATGTTAATTTGTACACTAGAGGCACACAGAAATTAACTGCAGCTGGATTGGTTTAGCGGGCCGGCCTGTGAACATGCTAATATACGGTAATTAGCTTAATATGCGGTTCCTTCCAGTGCAAGTCTTGTGATATTGAGGCTGTGTAATTGAAAGCTCGCTTAATTGGGTAGTAACAAGGTGCAATTTAAATTTAATTTGTTTACTTGATGTAATTATGGGTCGTACAAGTAATTGTAAATAGTTTTTTTAAGATATGTCAACATAGTCATGAAAAACATGGAAATATTTGTTTGTTTTAACTGATTTCCAAGCTTGGAATAGTAATTGAAATGCATACAATCCTTTTTTTAAATATAATTTGTCATCTTAAAAAGATATGTACATGTTTGTTTATATGTAACAAACATTTATAATATACTATATGTATTATACTATACATGTACTATACATCTTCATGATCCTTCTGAAATTAATTTGATGCTCAAGACATTTAATTTTAACATTTAAACATTTTTAATTTATTTTAACATTTAAACATTTATTATAATTTCTTATTCTATAATTTATATTTTTGTGGCAAAAAATCTGTATTTTTGAAAGAATAGAAAGAACGGCATTTAATTGATATATATATGAAGAGTTCAGAGGCAAAAGCCTCTAAATGCCAATTGAAATTTTCTTCTTTAATGATGATTTTTATCAAACTTGTATATTTAAGTTCAGTAATTTCACTTAAATAACAATTAATAGGTAATTATCATTGCCATTTAAGTGAAATTACTGAACTTAAATATACAAGTTTGATAAAAATCATCATTAAAGAAGAAAATTTCAAATGGCATTTAGAGGCTTTTGCATCTGAACTCTTCATATATATATATATATAGATATATATATTTTAACAATTTTAAACTATTTACTGCTACTTGATATTCTGTTATGTTAAGCTCCAAAATATTTGTATATCTGATATGTTATATCTAAAATATATGCTAGAAACTAGCCTGACTTCGTCATACTCATATTCTAGTGAGAATATGAGTCTGAAACTCCTACGTAGGGCTTTGATAATGAGGCGTGTCGTAACCAAACCAGGAAAAAAAAAACTCTGCACTCAATTGGATAGTCGGTAGACCCACAACCAATCAGAGCAACGCAGTAAGTCAACTCCAACTCCTTATTTTAGAAGTTAAATAACGAGTGTTGCTTCTTTTACTTACTTCTCCATGAGTGCGACCAAAGGAGAGAAACCACAACGACCACAGGCTTTTCATTACGTCCCATCTTCTTAGCGACCGTCAGAGCCAGCTGATAAGTTACACTTTTCCCGAATCATGTAGGAAGGACGCCAAAAATATCTTTCCAATCGACAAATGCCTTGATTGCAGTTCTCTGTTTGTCTATTAAAATGAATGCGCTGTCGATTTATTTTACAACAGCGGAATCTATACATCTCAATTCTCTAGCTGCAGTGATAACGTGATGATTACGTCCTTGCAGATCATATGTCCATCATCGTATAAAGCCCGCCCTGGCAATTTGATTGGCCCGAACGTTTCTTGTCTGATCATAATTACTCCTCGATGGAACTTCCCGAGCAAAAAATGTTGTGGGCGGAGTTCGGGCTGGCATCCAGGCTAGCTAGAAACTGCTCTTTTAGAAAAATCAAAAATTCAAAATTCATATCCATTAATCACGAAAGATTGAAGAAGTCGTGGAAAAGGTGTGTGGGAAACCTGTTTTCTTGTTCTAATAGGGAAAAATGCTATTCAAACAAGCTTTTGTGAGGTTTTAACCATACGCTAAATAAAAATCAATGTATAAAACTCAAAATACTTAATTCAAATTGTAAATGTTCTCCTCCTCGCGCTGGCAGGAATGCCACAGTTGCCCTTCTTCCTGGAGAACAGGGCAAGAGGAGGACTGGAGCCCAGACATCACTGGCCGGAGCAGGGCAACAGACTCAGGTAGGCCATGTGATGGATAAGAGCTTCATAAAAAGATATTCGAATTCGACACGTTAATATGTCTCTCTCTTTCATCATTACGACTGTCAGTTGCTTTGCTCGATTTGTTTCCCAGCCAAAGTGTTACATATACTGTACATTTGCTTTAGCATTTGGAAAACTTATCGTGCTTTTTCCTTAAAATAGATGAGGTTGTGACTCAGTGTAATTGGTTGTGTGTTGAAGGGAGGCGGAGCCTGAAGTCCCAGCAGACCCTGAGGAAGCCCGTGCGTTGCGTGGAGCTGCGGGTCAAGCAGCGGTAGAGCGTTTACAGAGAGCCGCCCATCACGACGAGCAGCATTCCCCACACGGGCAGCCCTCACCCCCCAAAAAAGCCTTCAAGACCCCCCGTGTGCCCTCTCTCTGCTCGATGGCCACCAGGGCCACCGTTTCCCTCATGACAGGTCAGAAAGACACCACTTAGTGCTGTTTACTAATCACATGATGAGTTCTTAACGCAAGCCATTAATCCTGCTCTCTCAGCTCCCAGCATGCAGTACAGCAGTAGCCTGGCGTGTCTGACCCCAGAGCTGGCCGAACTCTTGTTGGCTCACATGGCACGTGAGCGTTCACTCCGACCACGCACACTGGAGCTGTTCTTTGGCTGCCCGCTGCAGAGGTTTGTCCTAAACTGCTACCCGTACACCACCAACGAGCTTCTGCGGCAACTGAGGGCGTTTTCCTGTCTCAAGCATCTCAGCTTCGTCAACTCTCCACTTATCACAGGTGTGTGAGAAACTCACTAAAAATCCAACGAAAGAAAAAGAATATTTATTATTATTGTTTTGCTGTTTTTATTTCATTAAAAATCATTACATTATGTTGATTGGTGTGTGTGTGTGTGTGTGTGTGTGTACAAATATTTTTTTTTAAAGATGGATTGTCAAAGATATATCATTAAAATATCTTTATAACATAATAAAATAAATACTACATTAATGTAAATAAATATTTATTAATAATAGAAAAAAAAATACCATTCTAATAAAACATTTTTACTAATTTACCATGTTGTTATTGGTAAATAACAATATTTATTAATAACTTTTAATATGAATAAAGCACAATTAATATTAACCCCTGAACTGTCACCGTCCCGGTATCGGGGCGCCTAACTTTACTTCACTATATTTCTATTAAATCCTAATCTAATTATCACAATGGCACCCGGTGGCTATTTTTGGTACTACACCTAAACAAAATCTCATGGTAACATCACAATTTTTGTGATATCAATTTTAAATTTGGAACATAGCTTGGTTAGATTTATGACTTTGATTTTATCGTAATTTTAGAGTTGAAAATATTTTGTAAAATATATATTTTATATAAAATAAAAATATATAGTAAAGTATATTTGATTTACTGTGAATTTAAACTTCCATAACTTTTTAATACTTTCATTTTTTGAAGTGTTTTCACTCCAGCAATAATCTGATGAGTGTTTTCTTTAAAACAAGTCCAAAGCATTCTTGAATTACAACCATTTAAGTGTGAACAGTGCATTTTAACCCCCATTCTCAAAAAGGGGGGTGACAGTTAAGGGGTTAAATTGTACTACAGTCATCGTATTTGTTGTAAAGGAACGTCTGATCAAGATATTCATTACTATAAACATATGTTGACTTTCTGTAACATTTTTTTGCAATTTAGGGGTTAATATGCTTAATTGTCAGAACCATAATCAAACAATAATGTAGAAAAAAATCTTTAATGATCCTAAAGTAGGCTTAATTTTCTTTAACCAAAATTGAGGGGGTGAAATATGACCAAATATGGCATTTCCTTCTTACAAAAGTTCCACATGACACATTTCAGTGTACTGAATTGCTTGTAAAATGATTACTTTTCCCTTTTTATATTGCAGATGCCGGACTTTCTGTGTTGTCCAACCTCTCAAAACTGCAGCATCTCAACCTGTCGTCCTGTAGCAAACTAACAGACAGCTGCATGCAGCATATCACAGGTGAGACAGCGCATCGGAAACCACTTAAACCCTGTTGCAAACGGAGCCCTCGTGTTATCCCACACTTTAGTGACGTAATGCCGCTTTGACTGAGCACCTTTCTGAAACCTAAAATGACTAGTGGGATCTTGTAGTGTAGCATCTATAAGAGATTAGCATGTAGAAATGCGTGCTCTCGTTCTGTCTGACCTCAGGACTCCGCAGTCTGACGTTCCTGGCTCTGGACCAGACCAAAGTAAGCGATGCAGGTCTGCTGATGTATCTGCAGTCAGGTTCCTCTGCGCTGTGTCAGCTCAGCCTGAATCAGACGGGCATCACGGAGCGCACACTGAGAGCGCTGCCCTCGTGCGTGCCACAACTGCGAATGCTCAGTATTAAACACACCAAGGTAATCTACATCTAGATTGTTTATTTCAGAATATTTAATAAAAATGTTTATAGCTAATTTTGTTATCCAAAATAGACTATATCACACAATAATAGTCGAACAGAAAAAATAGCTTAATCCAAATAATGCTGCCGCAGTCTCTGTGAAAACTATGGGAAAAAATAGTACCCAATGTGTATACAGTATACTAGGATTTATGTCTATCCAAAATTATAGATTGTTTTACAAGAAATAAGTGACATATTTCATATTTTATCTGATCTGTTAATAATCTGCTAAAATATATACCATCCCTTTCACACAAATAAAAGTTTGATGTTAATGGATATTTTATTTACATGCACACTACCTTTACAAGTTTGGGGTCGGTAAGATTTTTTTTGGAGAGAAGCCTCTTCTGCTCACCAAGGGTACATGTATTTGATCAAAAATACAGTAAAAAAAGGTAATAAACAGTAAATAGCTGTATAATGTGTTCAAGTGTAATTTATTCCTGTGATCAAAGTGGAATTTTCAGCCTCTTCAGTGTCACATGATCCTTCAGAAATCATTCTAATATCCTGATGTGCTGCTCATGAAACATATTATCATCAATGTTGAAAACAGTTGAGCTGATTAATATTTTTGTGGGGACCTTAAAGGGATACTCCACTTTTTTTGGAAATAGGCTCATTTTACAACTCCCCCAGAGTTAAACAGTTGAGTTTTTACCGTTTTCGAATCCATTCAGTCGATTTTTTGATATTTAGAAGAATATCAGTTAACAGACAGTTTCTGGTCTCATTGACTTCCATTGTATATTTTTTTCCTACTATGAAAGTCAATGAGTCCAGAAACTCTCTGGTTACTGATATTCTTCTAAATATCAGAAAATCGGCTGAATACATTCGAAAACGGTAAAACTCAACTGTTTAACTCTGGGGGAGTTGTATAATGAGCCTATTTCCAAAAAAAAGTGGAGTATCCCTTTAATATTTTTTTTAGGGTTCTTTGACGACTAGAAAGTTTAAAATAACAGCGTTTATTTGCGATTATTTGTAACAACGTTAAACTTTTATCAATTTAATGCATTCTTATTAAATAAAATGGAAAAAAAACTCATACTGACCCCAAACATTTGACCTATAGTGTAAATATATACACGGTATACTGTTTTTGTTTCTCCAAACAAGCCTAACTCAGCTTGCACAATCTCAAAGTCATAAAGCTGTTACAAGTTTTGTTTTTAAGGTTTATTTTGGACCTCACTACCCTATATTTAGCGTTTGTCTCTTTTCGCCTTCAGGTGAGTGATGTGTCTGCCCTCGCAGAGCTCCGAAACCTGCAGACGCTTCACCTGGACGGCACAGGTGTACGGGAAAATTCTCTCCAGTGCCTAGCATCCCACCCTAGCCTATCAGCTCTCAGCCTGGCTGGCATACCCGTCACAGATGGAAACCACGTGCTGGAGATCATTTCAGGTGAAAACACATGGAATTTAATTTCAGTCCAGAATGCAAGTTGTTTAGTCCTGTATGGGGCTTTAGTGTCTACATTGTTTGATTCCTCCGTGCAGGCCTGAGGCTCACCCAGCTCACCCTTCCTGGCAGACACTGTGTGACAGACGTTGGACTGTCATTTCTATCCAGACAGACTTTGCTCTTAGAGCTCGACCTGACCGACTACACTCAGCTCACCGACCACGGCATTACGCAGCTTGCCAACATGAACAGGTAGAGCTTTGAGCAAAGCCATGAGTCTAAAAATGTCTAAGTAGGAGATCAAAAGACCAAAGCAGCCCTTGTTCTGGTGTAATTTGGATTAATGCAAACTTGCAAATCTGGTAATGCTGAAATGAATTTCAAAGATGGTAATGAAAACCACGCCCCTTTTAACCTGATAGGCTGAAGAAGCTGTCTCTTAGCAACACTCAAGTGAGTGACAGTGGGCTGCAAGGACTGATCAGTCTAAAAGAACTCCAGGAACTGTGTCTCGACCGGACTGCTGTCACTAGCAGGGGCGTTTCAACCTTGATCACACACTTGCCACATCTGCAGGTACAGTTTTAATCAGCAAGGATGCGTTAAATTGATCAAAAGTCACAGTAAAGAAGACGATAAACATTTCAAATATTTTGTTATGCATTTAGAAATTCATCTTCCGTGTTGTTTTTGTAGGTGATGGGTTTGGCCAGTACACAGGTTGGCGATACAGTGATCAGACAAGGTCTAGTTCACTGTCCACAGCTGGTGAAACTCAACCTCAGCAGAACCAGAATCACTGATCACGGTGCGTTGCATATTGGTATCCCCTCCAAAATCATGTTCTAGTATGAAGAAACGTCTCTAACATCATGTGTTTAATATCTCAGGTCTGAAGTTCCTGTGTCGTATGCAGTTGAGTCAAGTGAACCTGGACGGCACAGGTGTGACTCTCGTTGGCATTGCCAACCTGATCTCCGCCTGCCCTCACCTGACCAGCGTACGAGCCAGCCAAACCCGCGCCATACCTCCAGACCAGCAGTCTGACGACGACGACGACTACGATAATGGCAGCAACACCGCACGATCCTAGTATTATGTGTATTAGTACCCTTCAGTTTCTCTATGGAAAGAGTATTCAGACCTAACTTTTTCCATAAAGTAGAACTACAGTCTCACTTGGGTTCGACAATCAAGTTGTTTTGTTTTTGTTTTTTTTATGTGGTTACACAACTTGTTAGTGTTATGAACAAAAAGTTCATATTTAACCTGCGTTTTGTCTGTAAAAGGAACTTTAAATGTGCCATGATATGCACACTTCAAATTTCTATTTTCTGTGGACATTTTGCATTTTTTGTAAAATAAAGTGAAATATCATTAAAAAATATTGAACACTTGTAATACATAGCAAAAATGCATTATGATGATGCTCAAATATTGATAATCAACGTTTTGCATGACAAATGTAGAAGTATCCTAATCTTTTACATTGAGGATTCATGCATGACCACAATATTTTTTATTTTAAAAACTAATGACACTTAGATTTTATGTCAATTTATGTTGGACAAGTGGATTGAAGTGGAAAGTCATTTTAGACTCGGTTGCAATGAAAGTGTATTTGAAGGTGCAGTAAGTGATTTCGAGTATTGAAAATGATCAGGATAGAGTGTTTTAGCATCTATTTCGTCCCGTTTATCTCCGCTGGGGTCAGCCCACTTTTTCCGCATTTTTCAAATATTGCCAGTGGGTGGAGTCAAGCTCTGACCAGTGTTTTAGTTACCCTTTAAAAATCACCAAAACAAACACACCCCCATCTTGATCAAGCTATGCAACACAGGCACCTCCCCCCTAATGATTGGACACACCCCCTACTGCTGATTGGCTAATTTTGGTGCTCAATCCGACCCACTTTCAACACATTCTCAGAAATCACTTACTGTACCTTTAAGTGCTTTTTTTATTAAGTTAAGAAATCACATGCCAAAGTCTGTTAGTGAATCTAGCAGAAGTTGCATTCCGGATCATACATTAGCATATCTTTAAAATTTAAAAATCAAATATTTATTAGTCTAGCGCCATTAACAGGATCCAGGTTTACACTAACATACTGTACATCTGTCTTTAACATGCACAGTTTTGAAATGATAGCGATTCAATTATAAAGTGAATAGTGAAAAACGAACGAAGAGCATCATCACAGGCGTATCGAAGCATTGGCGTTCGACTGTTTCTGTAAGCATTTGTGTTGTACCTTTATGCGTTTGAATGCAATAACATTTGAGGATGTGAAAACAAAGATCTCAACTATATCTGGAGGTCTTAAAGGTCTATGTATTAAAGAAACATTGTCAAGTTCTAAATTATAAACATACCTTTAATGCTTGATGCTGTTCTGTCTTGACATGATGCGAGGGTTTGTTTGTCGAGAACCGTCAAAAGCATTCTTGTTTATAACAGTTGTCGAATCTGAATTGAAAATAGACATAAAACCCTGGTTTTTACATTGAGAACTCAGGAGCCAGTCAATTGTCCATCATAAACATACTGTAGTAGCGTCTTTTTCACATTTATTTAAAATGCCATGAATTTTCAACATATATGTTCCTGCTGTGTTGTCAGTGACATTAACACAGTGAATGCTGTTTGATGTTTTAGAAAAAGTTAGTTCTGTACATCCTGTATAGGTAACGTAGTGATGAGCAAGTATACAAGCATTTCACAAGAATCCATTGGGGAAGCAACTAACGAATTCACAGAATACTTATGTGTGTATGTACGACAGATCGTGAGATGCATGTACGGGTCACGCACGCATTCATTCTGCTCCACATAGTTTGAAGTCTTCTATCTATATTTCATGTGCTTGTACAGTTTATTTTACAGGCAACTAGGATGGTTCACAGCATTAATAAAAAATACATTTTGCAATGGTTTAACTACTTCATTTTATGGCAACCCTGTAAATATATACACTTACCCAAAGGATTATTAGGAACACAATACTAATACTATGTTTGACCCCCTTTCGCCTTCAGAACTGCCTTAATTTTACGTGGCATTGATTCAACGAGGTGCTGAAAGCATTCTTTAGAAATGTTGGCCCATATTGATAGGATCGCATCTTGCAGTTGATAGAGATTTGTGGGATGCACATCCCAAAGATGCCTACTTTCACTAAAACTGCTTCTACGGGGCCATAACATAAGCTACAAGGTAATGGAGCTATTTATACACTGTCGTGTTTCTTTAGAAATAAAGGACAAATGGGGTCTTCAAACGCCTCAGATGTAAAGTTATTCGCTGTCAAAGTGACGCCAAAATTAATGGGAGTCAATGGGAATGCTAACGCAAGTGAAGTTCTGTTACAAGGTGTCAGCTCCCACGAGGCTTCAACTTCCGGTCGATGGATTACCCCCTTGGTCACAACCCTAATGTACAGGCGCATTTGATAGACATGCCACCCAATAATACGGCTCTGGACATTCATAAACCACGCCTCACCTACGAGAAAATGAAGATGTGGTTTCCAGACCACATCTCATTCTCAATGTCCGGCGTTAGCCAGGCTATGCCAGGCCAGTAGCTGGCGATGTTACTTTGTAAAGCAACACTATGCATCTATAGACTAAACACATAATACACAGTTTTCCAAAATTTGTGTTTTAGTACTTTAAATGGAGACAATAATGATATTGTTTTCAAAAAACACATTTTCAAAAGTTTTCTGGCCCCTAAAATGCTGTTAGCATGTAAATAAATGGCAAAAACGTAAAAACAGTTTTCCGTTTTTAGTTGAAAACGGTGTCGTGTAAATGGCCTCTAAGAAGTCAAAAGAAAGGGATGAATGAAATAAATTAAATTTTTCTTGATAATTACAACCGAATTTTTTACACTTTACACAAGAGTTGTCTTAACATAAAATTACCATGTAGACTCAAACACCTTGTGGAATCAGACAGAATTAAGCAACTCAATAGCTTTAAGTGCTCAATGCAATCCTTGAAATAAGCAAGACTAGTCTTGCAAGTCTCCCCAAAAACATATATCAGAAACTCAATGAAAGAAATCTTGAAAATCTGCTAGAGTAATTCCTTTTAAAAAATAAGGTCAACCCTGTGAAAGTCACTACCACACTTAAAGGGATAGTTCACTTTGAAATTAATTTTTTGCTTACCTCAAGGGTCTCCAAGATGTAGGTGTCTTTGTTTACGCAGTATTTTCAATTTTGATATTTTTCGGTCAAACCGTCACTGGAGGTTAAGGGGGTCCTCCCTTGGTTCACCTCAAAGAGCCTGCACAGAGAAGTCAAAATTAAACATGATTGAATGACTCGTAAATGTAAGTACACATTGATGGCCTAAGACACGAAACAAGCGGTTTGTGAGAGAAAACGAACAGTATTTATATCGTTTTTACCTCGTGTAACGCGTCAAACTGATCTGACGGCACTGATTTGCCTCGTCAAACTGATCTGACTGCACAGGCGCTTCGGTCTGCGCATGCGCCGGATATGATCGCTTGCGTGTCTACGTCACTCATTGTTTACACAGAGATTTTACCTTTCACTAAACGTATTTAGATATGTTTTTTTATATATATTTCGTCTACCATTGCGATTTCCTGTATATCTAAATTCCTAAATATGTTTAGTGAAAGGTAAAACTTCCGTAATCTCTGTATCAGTGTCGTTCCTGAGCCGATACCAGGATCCAACTTTCCTCTGACTGTCTTCAGGCCATGAACCCAGACGCATCAAGGGTCTTTATGTAATCCGAAGGAAAATGGCCTGACAGGGAAGTAGCTGAAGAGGAAGAAAAGGCTGGAATAATGCGGCAGCACAACTCTCCTTGAATATTCTCAACAAGACTTCCTAAATGTGAAGTATGTGAAGCTGTCCTGATCTTCTATGATTACTCCTCTGATTCCTGGTCAAATCAGCATCGACGTGCTTCCGTCCATCCTACGCAAATCCACATTAGCCTTTGTCAGAAATGCCCATTTTCTGTCAAGCTGTGCAAGCAGAGCAGAAAAAGAGCCGTTGTTCTCTCTGACTTCCAGACAAAGCTTGCATCGGTCATGCAAAAAACAACTTTATAAAAATAAGGGCTGTCAAATCGATCAAAACTTTTTATTTTCACAGGAAACACGTTCAAATCCTTTTAAGGCGAGAAAGTCAAGTAACTAAATAATATAATCTTGCAAATATAACAATTTGCAATTATCATAAATAATTATAGATCAAGATCAGTGCATGTTTTTTCCACCGAAGAAAATTATCTTTCATCAAAATGCAAACATTTAGTCACCATGGCATGTCAACATCACGCTCATTCACTCATTTGCAGCCTATAATTGTTATTATGGTCATAAAATCGAACATCCTCTCCATTACTGAATGTTCTTGTCCAAAAACACTGAACTGAACAGAACAGGTTGTAATTCAACTTCAGAAACATGTAGTTCTCACTCACTGAAGGTCAGCCATGGCCTAGATTAATGAGACTTTTCTTCAGCAGCTAAATCAATCTGAGTCTAATGTGAACAACAGGCAGCACCTTCTTCATCTTGGTGGCATTCAGGGCATAACGAGACTTGATGTGAGGACGTAGGGTTAATCATTAGATTGTTCAAATAATTATTATGAATGTCTGTGGTGAGCAGCGAGTCATTCGTGTGTGAAACGAGATCCGCTCAGAGAGAGAGAGCTAGTGAGAGAGAATGTGTGTGCGTGTGTGTGTGTTTGTGTGACCTCAGTGTGTTTCCCTAATGTCCACCACAGTGACCCTCAGTAATGTGTGTATGTGTGTATATATATGTTAAAACACTGTGGTATCAAACGTTCATAGAAATTATAATCTGTTACACTGTTATTTTTTGCAATTAATTTAATTTGTACATTTCAATTTAAGTTGTTTGTTACTATTGATGTCTTCACTATTATACTATGTGTTACACGCTTTGGCAATATTGTAATATGTACAGTCATGCCAATAAAGCAATTTGAATTGAATTGAAACTGAGAGAGAGAGAGAGAGAGAGAGAGAGAGAGAGAGAGAGAGAGAGAGAGAGAGAGAGAGAGAGACTTTTTTGTTTTTTACTTTTACCATCCCTTTATTCTACATAGTTAAAAAATGTAGATGTAGATCAAATTCACTGTAACCAGTGCTTCCTTAACTCCCCATTTCCATTTAAAGAAAGGGACATTATTAACATGCTTGTAATATGTATATTCTATAACCACTCGTGCTTCCACTAAGGATCTGAAAACCGCCACCATACAAATATCTCTTCCTGCATTTTTTTCCTGATGAGATTTCAAAATTACTAATTTGGCTTGACCTATGACAAAATTAGCAATTACACATTGTTCTCGTAAAGATTTCCTATAATGACATCCAAAAATAAATAAACTATTAGTATATACAGGAACCCTAATTTTGTTATTATTTTTCTCAGCATTACAAAAATAGGATCAAGTCTAGGGCAGTCACAAAACATATGAAAAACAGTATCCAAAGCATCACAAAAAGGGCAATTTGATGTAACATTTTCATTCATCCTTGCAACAAACTGATTTGTAGCTAGGATACAATGGATTAATCTCCAATTAAGATCACCACATCTCTTAGAAATTGGAGGTTTATACAAAAGTCTCCAAGATGGAAAAATATCTTCAGATATAGAGAGATGAGATCTCCATTTAGTATCCACTCTCCCTTTCAATTGACTCACATGCAAAGTTTTAACACATATACGATACAATGTTTTTTTCCCTATACAATCGAGTAACAATTTTCCATAACCCTTTAATAAGGGAATATGAACAGAATCATCAATGCCACATTCTTTAGGAAACACCTTTAACTGCGGAAAATTCAACCATTCAACACCATCCACCAAAACATGATCAACAAATTGAGCAAATGATAGAGGAATGGAGGATATAAAAACCCTAACAAATCCCTCTATAATTCTAAGAGAAATCAATCCAACTTGATCAGCAAGGGACTGTGCAGTTCTCCATTGACCCCTACTTAAATCAATCAAATCAATAACTTTAGTAACACCAGTTTTCAAAAATCTATTGATTAAAGATTGAGATACATTTAATGGAAATTCAAAAAGGGAATTAAAAAAAAATAGGTTCTTCCACACCATAATGCTCCTCAACAGTTCTTGATATTTCAAAACATTCCCATGATTTGAGCACTGAGACAGAAACTAAAAGACAGATCAGAAAACTTTTTAACAAAAGTTTTCTTCATAAGGAATAGTTGTTTGTCAATACCTATTCCACCAATGTCTTTAAGTATAGATCTCCCAGAAAACACCCAGGGCACATCATTTAAACTATACAATAATTTCTGCAATGTTTGCATCCTCATTGCCAAGATCTTTGACTCCAGTCAGATGTATAAGCCCTTGACCTCCCTCTGCCACTGGAAGATAAAGGACTCCTGGAGGAAGCCAATGACATCCATCCCAGAAAAAATTTACCAATGCTTTTTGAACACTTTTGAGCAAGTCTTTAGGAGGGTCTAGAACAGTAAACTTATGCCAAAACATTGAGGCAATTAAGTTATTAATGACTAAGCATCTTCCTCTAAAAGAAAGCTGCGAAAGTAGCCATCTCCATCTCTAAAGTCTACCATTAACACGATCAACTAACCCCTCCCAATTCTTATTTACATATAGATCATTCCCAAAGTAAACTCCAAGCATTTTGAAACCATCCCTGCCCCTTTTGAAAATTATTTAAACAAGATGTTAACTTGTTAATATCTTCAGAATTTTTTCAGAATTATCATATGAAGAGTTCAGATGCAAAAGCCTCTAAATGCCATTTGAAATTTTCCTCTTTAATGATGATTTTTATCAAACTTGTATATTTAAGTTCAGTGATTTCACTTAAATGGCAATGATACTTACCTATTAACTGTTATTTAAGTGAAATTACTGAACTTAAATATACAAGTTTGATAAAAATCATCATTAAAGAAGAAAATTTCAAATGGCATTTAGAGGCTTTTGCATCTGAACTCTTCATATCTTCAGAATTGAGAGAGAGAGAGAGAGAGAGAGAGTCACCGGACTTTTCAAACGATCTCTAATTGGCCGGTTAAAGGAGTAGTTCACTTTTAAAAAAAACTTTAGCTGATAATTTACTTACCCCATGTCATCCAAGATGTCCATGTCTTTCTTTCTTCAATCGAAATGAAATTAAGGTTTTTGATGAAAACATTCCAGGATTTTCTCCATAATGGACTTCATTGAGTGCCAAACGGTTCAAGGTCCAAAAGACAGTTTTAGTGCTGCTTCAAATGGCTTTAAACGACACCAGACGATGAATAAGGGACTTATCTAGCGAAACAATCGGCCATTTTAAAAATAAATAACAAACTTTAAGTTTTACAAGCTCAAATTGGCGCCGCCGCCTTGCTCTGTTCTGTGATGCACGTGCGGCGTACGTGACTCTCCTGTTCGAACTCGTTCGTCAAAATGAACGACTCTTTTGTCGAATCATTTAGTTCGTTTCGTTCGTTGAATGAACCAAATGACTCGAAAAAAAGATTTGTTCATTTTGATGACCAACGTTGAACAGAAGAAGATCAGCTAGTTATCGCCAATGCCAGGCACAGCAAAGCACTGCTGAGTAATTAACATCGATTGACTCTTTATCCAGCTCTGGTTCTAGGGGACGGCATCAATACCAGCTCAACCTCATAGTTTGTGGCTGATCTGACCTGTTTTGAACTTGAAGAACTCTAGGAGGTTTTGCAGACGGCAAGAGCAGCAGTGTGTGTGGAATTCTATGTGCTTTCCGTAATTCCGTCAGACAGTATCAGTAATGCTGAAATTACTCTTCACCACACTAATGCAGTGCCAAATTGCTGATAGCTCCCTTCGGTTAGCAAAGTCTGCTGTAAAGATCCATTTATGAGAGCAGAAAAAAACCCTTTCCCACATAAACAGGTGACTGGAAGGAGAAATGATATCTGTGGGTTTGTGACAAATGAATGCTAGACAGAGCCAAAGAACAGTCGGGTGGCATCGCCTGGCACATTAGTTCTGTGGAGAGTGTGTTAGACTCGAGTTATGCTGTGCAGAGCTCCTCTCATTGCAAAGAAGCATCAGGGAGATCAGAAGAAGAATGCTTGACAGCTGTAGAGAAAAAGCTTATGTGTGCATTTTTTCACCATCTCTCTCTCTCTCACATACACCTAAATCCTGTCCTAAACCTCAGGGCAAATTTCCATTTCTTGTTTGAGGAAGATTTGGACAACAACTGTTTCCTGCAGAACCGTAGTGAAGAGATTATGCTGATTTACCAGCTGAATTATACATTTATACTTTTCACCACCTTATGAGACCTCCAGCTGCTCTAAAAACAACAACAACAACAACAGTGTTTCACAAAAAGCCAAGCACAGAATATGGACCATAGCAAAAAATAATAAATGTCACACATATATCGTGACATATCGACAGATAAATTTGCAAAAATCTCACTATTATTCATGAAAATGTAGGGGAAAAAAATACCAATGTGTTTTCTATTGTAATATTAAACACTACCTATAGATATTAAGCTCATTTATGGCTTAATATTTAAGTATTTCTACACAGTGGTTAATTATCATTGAATGATAATTAATTATTCATTCAATGACAGAATGAATGGATTTCAACACCCAAATGTTCTGCTAAAAAAAGATATTGCACTTACACACCAGTTAACAGACAGATAGTGTAAAGCTATCACGTTTGTGTATCTTGAACACTGCGTTCTTTATAGAGAAACACATTTCAGTTCAAAACATTTCCAGATTCAAATCCCTTTTTATTAAGAAATAATGATATGCTTGTTCAAACATAATTTAGTTATATTTTAAGTGATTTAGGAGAAAAATGAGAATTTGTCTTCAGATCTGCAGTCTTCACTCTTGCCGTTAATGTAGTGCTTTTTTATAATAAATGTGTGGCCTCTAGTGGTCTTGAGTTGTTATCACACCACATTAGGAAACGAAAGTCTCTCTCACACACAAAAACTTAATATATTTTACAATTTATTCCTATGAATAAATTTCATATTGTCACATTATCCATCAGAAAACATTACAGTATACTGATTTGCTGCTCAAATTATTATCTATGTTGAGAACAGTTGTGCTGCTTAATATTTTTTAATAATAATAATAATTTTTAAAAAAGTGAAACCGTGATGCATCTTTTTCAGGATTCTTTCAAGAATAGAAAGTTCAAAAGAACAGCATTTATTTAAAATAGAAATGACATTCTAAATGTCTTTGCTGTCACTTCTTACTGACTCTATAGCATTTTGTGTACATATAATACACATACACAAGCACATCACACTCATTGGTTTAATTAGTTCTCAAAAAGTTCTCAAATTTTGCATACAGGAATTACTCCGGAATGAATTCACATCCATTTTTGTAAAACCATACCTTCTGCAAAACTCCTTTTGTGTTTGATGAAAAAATAGGCTAACGGGTTTTAAATATCATGAGGCAGAGGAAAGATGACAGATTTGACATTAGTTCCTAAAATAGCTGACTAGTAAGCCAATTCACAATGAAGCTCCGAAATGCCGTTTTAGTGCTGAGAACTTAAAAAAGCCTGACGTCTAATTCAAATAAAACACCAGCTGATGTTCTAAAGGCCAGCAACTCGAGTGGCCATCCCTCTTGCAAGTGGGTCACTGGTTCAAACATCGATCTGAAGAATATATAAAGCTCATTACAGCTGACTCAATACAACCGAGAGAAAAAAATAATAATTTGTTACAAAAGAGCTCTGATTGATATTACGACTTTAATGACTTTGCTCTTTATGCTTCAGCAAGCAAAGACAATATTGAACTCCCAAAACTTTTATATATATATATATATATATATATATATATATATATATATATATATATATATATATATAGCATTAAGTGTGGCTGTGCGATTCACATACAGAATAAAACTGCAAGTATAATAATTTCATAAATTACATTGATGACTTGAAGGCATGATGGACTGTTTTTATTATTAGATTTATATGGTATAAAGTTTCTCCTATTAGTCCAGAGTCCATTTTTTGAATGTAAAAATGTTTTTCTAGAGTTGAGAGAAAAGCTGCGCAGCGCCATCCACATTGACAGCTTCCAGGGGAGCTTCTCTGACCACCTGAAATATACAGTTTACATGAGATCTTATACAATCTACACACATCATACTCACACATATGGCATCCATGTCATTACAATGGATTAAACAGACAACTGGCATTTAAAAACACAACACCAGCGCACTTTACAAAAAGTGCATAGAAACAGCTGTAAATAGCCTAAATAAATACCTTCTGTCCTTTTTTGGATTCACTAGTCGCGGGTTTTGATATATTTCTTACATCTTGCTGTACTTCTGTGAACATTTGATTTAAGCTCTCCACTTTTTCATTCCTCACAGTGTTTATCTAAGGGGGAGAATGTCAACATATTCAACGCAAAAATCTCAAAACTGTCCAGTCCTATACACACATCAATAATGTAAACAAAACATGAACTTACATGTTTCAGAGAGGTCTTGACAGGTTTCGCTTTGGTCTTGGGTTTTGACTGTTTGTTCGCAACCTGAAACACATTTTGCTGTTTTTTAACTCTCTGTTTATTTTTGGCCATGTTTATCTTGAAGCCTGTAGACTTTCCGATGACTCCTCGATTCAATGAAGCCGCAATCTGGACGTCTAAGAGGTCCAATTAGACGGATACCAATATATGGCTAGATTTGTAAGTAAACTTGTCCAAAGAAACAAATTCAACTACATGTAAAAACGCCCTCTATTCCATAAACAGCAATGCGCAGTTTCAACTATCAACCCATCAACAGCTCGTTCCTACAACCACGTGTGTGCTGTGGCTTCTGTGCTTTCCCGGCAGCGTGAATGTTCATTAGCGCCATCTGGTGATATGGAGAGTGCGCGAACACTGGAGAACGCCACGATTGATTGAAATTAAAGTATTGGAATAAAGTACCGCGAAATTAAACTTTATTTGTCAGTTCAGCTTTTCAAATCTGCATTCGTGAATTCACACATACATTTGTTTGTTCATGGGTTTTAAAACTCTCAGGCAGGTTCAGCCTTAAGACTGCAAATAAGTTGTGTGGTAGATCATTTTACTAATTTCTAAAACATCTAAAGTATTAAGCATTTCTTGTTTATTCTTAAAGAAAATGTACACATAAACCTTTTATGTAGCATTAATCTAGGCCTATACAAATTCTAAATATATATTTGATTTAGAAATTTAGCCTACTTTTTATTATTATTATTATTTTTTTTTTTTTTAAATAATCAAACAGGATACATTTGTGCATTTATTCACATTTGGAGGTCGAGCGTAGTTTCAAGTCTCAACCACGAGATGGCAATAAATCCCAAAACATAATAACTTAATCCAGATATCTATGCACATATAGCAGCATTTACAAATGGTATCTAAAAACATATCGACTAAAAGAACATCGGTTTTACTATTTAAATAAATTACAAGCTATTTTCCAGTAATAATTTACCCTACAATCATAATAATATTTTAAAAATCTACGAATAAAAACTAAATTGTAAAAAAGGTTACTTTTTACCCCTTTATTTTATTGTAGAGCCTATAATAATAATAATGAAAATAATAATAAATACACGAATTACTGGCTAGTAGCCATCTGGTGGTGTTTGTGTTACATTTGTGACATTATAAAATACAATATATTAGTAGCCTACATGTTCATCAAATTCATTAGGCTACCCAAACTGACTGTAGCACTTCTAAAAAATAATTTCTGTTTTCAGTCATAAGGTGTTCCTTTGCAAAGCGTCAAGTATTAGCTGTAGTAGCAGAGTGTTGCGTAAACCCGCCATTCATTCTCTCTGCTGGAGGATCTGATGGAGGGATGATTACTGCACTCATTGACATTACTGTATCACACTGTCAATCTACGTCATCAGAACCTGGCGTGCCACAAGTCTCTGATTACGCAATCACATAATGTTAAGGATGTCTATCGAATGGACCCGTAGATCAAAGCAAAATGACTCCGATATTCCCAACGGCGCGAGCGCGCATTCCGAAAGAGTGAGCGCGCGCAATATCGATCTCTTCTCTAGCTCCTCCTGCTGATCACATATTTAATATGCGGTCATGTGAACAAACCGCGTCCAGAAAGGCGCTATATAAACCTTCAGATTCTCTGTATGAGGACACTTAGACTGCTTTAGCACACTTGCGGACACTTGAGCAGACCGCGGCACAGCTGTCATTATGTCTCACGGATGGGGATACGCAGACCATAACGGTACATTTACATACATTCACATTTTTTTTTTACATTTAGGACATAACGGTAGGCTAAGATCTCGCTCGTGATTACGATTTTTCAGATTCATATATGATTTCATAGGCTTTTTAAATATAGAATGTAAAATGAATTATATTATCCCTCATTAACTGTATTTGCCCTCTATGCAACTAAGACATGATCACCTTGTCTACTGCACAGTCAGCACGAATGTGACGTGCAGAATGTACAGATGTCACGTATAGCCTATGCATAAATAAACGCATCGGTATTTTGTATCGAATTTAGAACTATGTTTGTTTGTTTTTCGCACTAATGCAGATTTTTTATTTCATCCCATAAAAGCAGACCTTTAAATATATTTCTTCAAATGCCTATTTTCAACTATCTTTTTTCTTCTTCTTTCATTTAACGGCTTGACAAGCAATGATGTAAGATATTAAGCTACTGTTGTGATTTAAAAAGCAACCATCGAAAAATACATATAATCTAAGGTTGGATGCTGCTCAAATATTTTGTTTTATGAATATCATTTCATTTGGAAATGCATTTTTGTGCCAGATGCATAGAATTGCACTGTTTAACCTCTGTGTCACCTTCCAATGCAGGACCTGAGAAATGGTGTGAAAACTTCCCCATTGCCAATGGACCTCGCCAGTCTCCAATCGACATTCACACCAGTGAAGCGTCTTACGATGGTACACTGAAGCCGCTGAAACTGAAGTACGACCCCACCACTTCGCTGGACATCCTGAATAATGGACACTCTTTCCAAGTGACCTTTGCCGATGATAACGACAGCTCAAGTTCGTGAACTCTTTGTTGATTCTTATAATGAATTGGCAGCCTATTCTTGTATTAATCATTAGCTTGACTTAGTCAGAGTGTACCTGAAACGACTGCAGTGTTAACCTAGATACTATTTAGAAGGAAAGCTTACAATAATAATGTAATCCCAGAGTATTATTGCTGAATATTCACTGTAAATGGTTAATATGACAACATATGTTTTTACTTTGCTTTAACTCGTCAAAAAAAAAGTTAAGACATTTTCAAAAATATTTTTGTTGGTTATATAAAATATTAAACTCACGTTTTAATGTAATTTAAGTTAAAATGACTGGATTTTACTTAAAAATTTGAAGCAACTTTTTTTTGCACACTATTAAATTATGTGCTCTTTCTGGAAGGCAAGTGGGAAGCATTTTGAAAGTTGTCTTTTGCTCCTACTGCATAGTTAAATATTAATCTTTTAATAGATAGTTTGCAAACACAATTTTATAGATTATGCTTATTTTTAGGTTATAGCCTATTGAATAAGAGTGTAAAGTCTAAAATTAAACTGATGTGTAAAAAACACGTCAGCTCACTCTCCAGTGACGTCGTCTTTTGCACAGTTGTGGGAAATCACACATGTACACACTTAGCCTAAAAAAACAAACCATTGACTGCTTAGAAACTTTAATGCAGTCTATTTAACAAAAGGGAGATACCTGTGTGGCAAGTTTAGCCATTTAACCTACATATAATGCAGCAGACTTTGACATAACATATATCACTGTTTGTTTGCTCTAGCGCTGACAGAAGGCCCGATCTCAGGTAAATACAGGCTCAAACAGTTTCACTTCCACTGGGGGGCCAGTGACGACAAAGGCTCCGAGCACACAGTCGATGGGAAATGCTATCCAGCCGAGGTGTGAATCCCTGAGCATACTGGGCAAATGTGTGCATGTGTGAGATGTGCAATGTTTTTTTTTTATATGATTAAATATTAATGTACCTAATAAATTCATCTTTAGCTCCATCTGGTCCACTGGAACACAAAATATCCCAGCTTTGGGGAAGCAGCCGATAAGCCTGATGGTCTTGCTGTGGTTGGAGTTTTTCTGAAGGTTTGTGTGCAGTCTTACATTTTGGTCACAATTTAGCTCTCACTAGTAACCACTATAGTAACACTTTTGCCTGCTTAGGTAGTTGTTAAGTTTAGGTGTAGGATTAATGGATGTAGAATACACTCATCTAAAGGATTATTAGGAACACCTGTTCTATTTCTCATTAATGCAATTATCTAATCAACCAATCATATGGCAGTTGCTTCAATGCATTTAGGGGTGTGGTCCTGGTCAAGACAATCTCCTGAACTCCAAACTGAATGTCAGAATGGGAAAGAAAGGTGATTTAAGCAGTTTTGAGCGTGGCATGGTTGTTGGTGCCAGAGTATTTCACAATCTGCTCAGTTACTGGGATTTTCACGCACAACCATTTCTAGGGTTTACAAAGAATGGTGTGAAAAGGGAAAAAACATCCAGTGTGCGTCAGTCCTGTGGGCGAAAATGCCTTGTTGATGCGAGAGGTCAGAGGAGAATGGGCCGACTGATTCAAGCTGATAGAAGAGCAACTTTGACTGAAATAACCACTCGTTACAACCGAGGTATTCAGCAAAGCATTTGTGAAGCCACAACACGCACAACCTTGAGGCGGATGGGCTACAACAGCAGAAGACCCCACCGGGTACCACTCATCTCCACTACAAATAGGAAAAAGAGGCTACAATTTGCAAGAAATTGGACAGTTGAAGACTGGAAAAATGTTGCCTGGTCTGATGAGTCTCGATTTCTGTTGAGACATTCAGATGGTAGAGTCAGAATTTGGCGTAAACAGAATGAGAACATGGATCCATCATGCCTTGTTACCACTGTGCAGGCTGGTGGTGGTGGTGTAATGGTGTGGGGGATGTTTTTTTGGCACACTTTAGGCACCTGAAAGTGAAAGGGGGTCAAACACAGTATTAGTATGGTGTTCCTAATAATCCTTTAGGTGAGAGTATGTTCATGCAGAATAAGGCATTAATACATGCTTAATAAGTACTAATATACAGCCAATATCATTCCAAAGTGCATGATAATAAGCTACTAGTTAATAGTGAGAATTGCAAACACAAGAACGAATTCACTAAACAGGCACAGCACTTGATTTTATTTTTGCACGGAAATAAAATAAATTAAATGTAATAATAAAACATAATAGTAAAAGCTTTGATGAGCATAAAATAATAATTATCTTATAATAAAAATCTAATAAAAATAATAAAAATCGTCCCACAAAATTAGGATTAAAAATTGTTTTTTGTTTTTGTTTTCCATCAGATCGGTGAAGACAATCCTAAGCTTCAGAAGGTTCTGGATGCTATGGATGCTATCAAGTCCAAGGCATGTCTACCAATTCAATTACATTTTGTTGTCATTTTTATTTCTTGCTGAAGATTGAAATCAGTCCTGCTTCATGGTCAATTGTGTGTTTGTTATCTTGCAGGGAAAGCAGACCTCATTCACAAACTTTGACCCAACCTGCCTGCTCCCGAAATCTCTGGAGTATTGGACGTACCCTGGGTCTCTGACCACGCCCCCTCTGTACGAGAGCGTCACATGGATCGTCTGCAAGGAGACAATCAGCGTCAGCTCTGCGCAGGTGACACAATTAGACCAGCAGTACAAGCATTGAGGGGGAGTTTAAAAGGGAGCCACATGCTCAGTGCTAAAGTGGGACATCTCTAAAAGAATAGGAGAATACCTTGTTGACTCTTAAAGGAGTAGTTCACTTTAAAAAAAAAAACTTTTGCTGATAATTTACTCACCCCCATGTCATCCAAGATGTCCATGTCTTTCTTTCTTCAGTCGAAAAGAAATTAAGGTTTTTGATGAAAACATTCCAGGATTTTCTCCATATAATGGACTTCAGAGGGAACCAAACGGTTCAAGGTCCAAATGAGAGTTTCAGTGCAGCTTCAAAGGGCTTTAAACGACACCAGACGATGAATAAGGGTCTTATCAAGCGAAACGATCACTCATTTATAAAAAATAAATAACAAATTGTAAGTTTTATAAGCTTAAATGCTCGCCTTGCTCTGTTCTGTGATGCGCGTTCGTGACTCTCCTGTTTAAACTCGTTCATCAAAATGAACAAATCTTTTTCCGAGTCAGTTCCTTCATTTCGTTCGTTGAATGAACCAAATGACACAAAAAAAGATTCTTTTTTTTAAATGAGCGATCGTTTCACTTGATAAGACCCTTAATCACCGTCTGGAATCGTTTAAAGTCCTTTGTTTGCACTGAAACTGTCTTTTGGGCCTTGAACCGTTTGGTTCCCATTGAAGTCCATTATATGGAGAAAAAAGCTGGAATGTTTTCATCAAAAACCTTAATTTTTTTTCAACTGAAGAAAGAATGACATGTATGACATGGGGGTGAGTAAATTATCAAAGTTTTTTTTTAAAGTGAACTACTCCTTTAATAACTCTACTGTTCAAAAGTTTGGGGTCAATAAGGTTTTCTATTTTTTCGATAAATTAATAAATTTAAATTTGTCAAAAGTGAAAGATTTGGATTAAATGCTGTACTTGTACTTTTGAACTTTCAAAGAATCCTGAATTATATATATATATATATATATATATATACATTCAAACATAAAACCGTTATTTTAAATTAATAATTATTCTTCTTTCAAAATATAAAATCTTACCGACCCCAAACATTTGAACAGTAGTGTGAATAGTCCTATAAATTAAATATATATATATATATATATATATATATATATATATATATATATTTTTTTTTAAGTACATTCCATGTTATTATGAATCGGTGTAAATATATCTATATAAAACTATATGTATTTATATAATCAGTTTTACATGAAATATATTGCACACTGTAGTCACTACACAGAAACGTAGAAATCACGTGAACTACCCAAATGTGTGCAATCCAATGAGAAACCATCCGATTATGATTGATTTGACCTTCCGTTTATAAAACCGGCAAGATATTTTCCCTCATCTGAGGCAAGTAGACCAGACAAAACCATAGTCATAGTCAGTTGTATGTTCTTCTCTATTCAACCTCTGTGGCATGTAGCACTTTTGTGAAAATCAACACGACCCTGTCGAATGTTAACATCACGACTTTGGTTCAGGGCTGGAAATGTGCACATGCCTCATTTCCTAGCCTCTATGAGTATAAAATTAAATTGACTAACATGAAATTCTCTTTAAAATGTGAGAATGAATGAAAACGAGTTTGTTTAGGACAGTTTACAGAACAAAAGCCCCAATACATAAATAATAACAGATGATGAAAACTCACAGCATATCTCATTCTTTCTCTTCCCGTACAGATGGAAAAATTCCGATCTCTGCTTTTTACCGCAGAGGAAGAGAAGGCCTGCTGCATGGTGGATAACTATCGCCCCCCTCAACCTCTTAAAGATCGCAAAGTCTGTGCCTCTTTCAAGTGAAGGATCCCCCCAGACCCCGCCAACCCTTCCCCCCTTCATTAGTAGGATTTGCGAGCGCGGGCACCTTCACTCTCCATGCAGTGATGCTGGGCAACCTGCCAGCTGTCCAGCACAACAGATGCGCTGTATGGAGAGGAAAGAGGCTATGCTGGGAATCGTCAATCTATCTTTCTTACTGCTTCATTCTCTGGTTTACTTCATTAGTGGAAATGCAAAATTATTTTGAATTAGTGTGCCAACTTTGTATGATGCTCTGATATACATGTGATGCATAGACAAACAAAACAAGAGAAGCAATATATACACTGGATATTTAATACATAAATGGAGTATTTAAGTATATTTGTATTGGTCAAGAGATTAGGCCAGCATCTGAGATTAAACCCAGTGTCACAGCCGATACCTGAGCACATGCCATCTGTGCCTGCTGTCCTTCCCTGCTAGGGTGTAATCTCTGGCAGTCTCAGCAATGCCAATGTAATGAAACCCAGTGGACTTTTCCGTCAGGCTGCAAGATCTAGAAAATTGCCATTGCAAAAATGGCAATATGTCCACACTGGGAAATCACGCACAGAATCTATCACACACTGTACAACCAGAGCAGCTTTGGTTTGGAGTATTTGTGCCTCAGATCATTGTAATTCCATATTCCATTTGTGTGTTTCTGAAAGATGTCATTTAAAGCGATTTCATTTTAAAAGAAATAGCAATAAGTGCATGAAATCCCGATAATGTGCTGTGATTTGTTGGGTTTTGCTTAATGCTATGTTTTAATCTTGGACTGTGAGTGAAATTCGTCTTTTCAGCTGTATCGAACAGCGATGCACAAGCCGTGACAAGCAACATTAATAGAAGCCAACATGCCAATCGATAAATCTCGCAGGTAAAGCAAGGAGGTCACCACCAGCTCCTCTGAAGCCCTGGGACCACTCGACTTATGTTATGCATTTGTAAAGACAACGGGTTTGAAATATGTTGTGTAACGTGTAATTGAATGTACTTTACTTGAATTCGAGGGCTATGTTAAGCAATATTGTTCAGCCATACTCCGATCCACTATTTCCGAGAGGTTATTTTAATTAAAGATATTTTATGCTTATTCTGTGTAATGTTTTTGTGATTCAACATGCAGTATACAAGTATATATACAGTCTAAACAGCTGTATTTACTAATGCCTTAGTAAATGGTAAATGTTTTAGATAGGAACATGTCATTTTAGCAATTAAAGGTGCTAGGCAGTGATTTAATTGCTGTCCATTTCGGATATATTATGCGTTGTTTTTTTTAAGGAGACAATACTCAGCAATGGTGTTGACTTATGAATTTGCACATGGTTTGTCTTAGGCATATGGTTCCAGTAGATATATTCTGCTTTTTTAGCAGAGTTTGGTAAAACATTGACCCTTTTTTATCTGATTAGCAAATGATTAGCAGTTAGCCTGAGATATCACTAAGTTTATTGGTGCTGTAGTGAATTATCGGGGAATAATAAGTGAATTATTTGGGAATATCACATATAAAATATCTTTAATACTGACGGATATCTGAAATATTCATCACTTGAAATCACAAGTGGCTTTATGACAGTCCTGTAAACAGTAGAAAGAGAGCCAGAGGAGCGGCCTACACAGTTTTATCCAATCAGAAATCCTAACCAATCAGAAACACTCAACATGTGAATCATTTTTATATAATCGCCAACATCACACTGCAAAAAATACAAATATATCTATATGGTGACAGATATGTTTGCCTTATTCTAAGCATAAACTCGCTTAATTACTTTTTTTTTTTTTTTAATCAGAAAACAAAACTTTGTTTTGCTTCTCAGTAACTTGATTTAAAGGGATAGTTCACTTTGAAATTAATTTTTGGTATGTTTTAGCTTACCTCAGGGGCATCCAAGATGTAGGTGTCTTTGTTTCCGCAGTAGTTTAAATTTAATTTTAGGTCAAACCGTTCGTGTCTGTCAGTCATATAATGGAGGTCTATGGGGTCCACCTCAAAGAGCATGCACAGAGAAGTCCAAATAGGTGGTTTGCAGTCACGTGATTGTGTTGACGCGCGGAATGCAGATGGAGGGCAAGGAGTGAAGAGCGCAATGGACGAGATGGAGGAAAATCCGTACTGTACTACTTTAGACGCTATTACAAGAGAAATATATAAACAGAAAATCGAAACATATGTTGGACGTGATCCTTACGTTATGAAGAGGACCGATTTTCAACTGAATTGAGAGATTTGCCTGCCATCGAGGCTGTAGATGTCAGCAACTAACTCGTCTTACAGACATACTTTGACTTTACACGAACAGCCACATAAGTGTATTTAAACACCTGAATAATGTAATTATAAGCCACATAAATAATGTATTAACTCACATTTGACGAAGTGATCACTGCACACACACACACAGGCATTTTCCCATTCGGCTCCTCCCGACCTAACACAGTCTCATCCCAAAAAGTCATATAACTGACGTAGTATTTTGCAACGTCAGCCATAAACGTTTTCCCGGTGACACTTTTTTTCAGGAACAACAAGGCGAATATTGACGTATGGTCACGGTCGATAAACCGCAGACGTAGGTTTGCAAGGCATTTTTCCCGGTGTTTTTCTTATGAACAACAACTTTGGGCACACGATAAAAACTCCTCGTGGTTTGATCGATGTGAGCAACCATAAACGACGCAAAACATAGGCATTTTGAGTGTGTTATAGTGCTTCCTAATGTAGAAAATCACTTCCTGCCCTCCATCTGCATTTCGCGCCATGGTAACGCAATGGCGTGACGTCACGTGAAAACAAGCTATTAAACATGATTTAATGACTCGTAAATGTAAGTACACATTGATGGCCTAAGACACGAAACCAGCGGTTTGTGTGAGAAAACGAACAGTATTTATATCGTTTTACCTCTTGTAACCACAGCAGTTTCTCACACAAACCACTCGTTTCGTGTCTTACATTTACGAGTCATTACATCATGTTTAATCTGGACTTCTCTGTGCATTCTCTTTGAGGTGGTGACCATAGACCTCCATTATATAACTGTCAGACAAGAATGGTTTGACCTAAAAATATCAAAATTGAAACTACTGCGTACACAACGACACCTACACCTTGGATGCCTTTGAGGTAAGCTAAAACATCACAAAAATTAATTTCAAAGTGAACTATCCCTTTAAGAAATTTTATTTATTTGTAATGGAAATCTGTAATAAAATCATTTTGTGCAGTCTAGATTTGCTGCCATATTTCTTTTGAAGGTGAAAATTTGGATAAATCATGAAATCAAATTCATAAATCACATGGGCCGGATCAGGGCCAACACTGTTGCTTTCTGGGTAGCAAAACATAATATGCATCCCCCTTCTCCACTCAGTCTAATGCACCATAAATGTCATGTATATTAGCACAGGCCTAGCTGTTTTGTCAGCTGTGTCCAGCTAAAACCAGCTGACTCTTCAACTCACGGGCAGTGTGACATCATAATTCAATCCCATTTGCATAAACATTGATTTACCTACAGTACATTTAGAGCTGAGAGAACAGGATTAGCTAGTGATGCCAGCACGACACATACCGCCTTCATGACACAGGCAACACCTCCCAGAAATCACTGGTGATATAAATCAGAGGGAATAACAGTTTAAATCTCACTCACATGGATACACACACGCCAAAAAGCAGCTAATCTGTAGCATCCTGGCATAAACACAGCAGTGCGGCAAGAAACATGACCTACAGTCGAGGACGTACACACACACACAGCTCCAGACAGGGACAGCCATGTCCACAGGCTTTCATGCTAATGCGGTTCAGAGAAAAACAGGCGTATCATCGCAAGTATAAAGACGTACGGGAAAACACGTTTTATGACGTTGCTGTCACGATTAATGGATACTCTGTAGTTAATATATCCTCTGATGCTTATCGTAAATCCTCTTAACAGAGCTAGAGACCTTCTGACCTTCTGCTTTTATGGCTCTCAATACTGTAAATTACTCAATAAAGATGTTGTGGAGAGCTTGGGAACATTTAGGTTCACATGGCCATGAGGTCCGAGGAGGACACTGCGAAGGCCAAACTTTAATAAGTAGCCTAACTTTGCAGCTGTAACTTACTCTCATTCATTTATTAACTACATGTCAACTAACTCTCATTAGTAGACTGTTAGGGTTTGGGTAAATAACTGCTAACTGCTATAAGATTAAGAATGACTGCTAGTTGACATGTAGTTGCGAAGTTAGCATAAAGTGAACTATTGAGATAAAGTATTACCATATTATTTTGTGCAAAAAAAAATATTATTCCCTTTGAGCTGCTGATGTTAATATGTTGTTTTTGGTCTCATTTAGTATGTCAAGCACAGCGTACATAACACTGCTGGATAAGGATTTAAACACAGCCATGAAAGTGTCTGTTCAATGAATCAATACTGCATCTGAATGCATTAGGCTTTAAAAAGAGCAGCGCGGAGGCAGGGGATTTCTCAGTGAAGGTGTTTTTATCTGATGGAAATGTTTTTCTTAATAACTTGTGGTTCAGGATGTCACAGCGCATCTGATTATAACTGCAACACCTTACCCCTCACTGCATCTTCTGAAAATGCCACAAAGAACAATCCTTTGTCTATAAATAGGGTTCTTACTGAAGTCTACTTTGGTCCACCCACTTTGAGGTCAAATAAACAACCACACACACACAAAAAATGTTTTTTCTTTAAAAAAAAAAATGCATTTGCCTTAAAGAATAATGATGCAGTTAACAGAATGAGAGTCTAAATGTGCATGTTATCCTCTCCAAGAGACACAGTTTCCAGCTCATACCTTTTGTGATGTCAGTTGTGTTGACATCATTATGTGTTATGTATAAAAACTCAAACAGTAAAAACATTTCCCTTAATTATTATTCCAATAATTAAAGAATCTTTCAAAGTGGGATCAATTCCTGTGAAGGAATTTGTTTGAATAATAACAGGTGAGCAAAAGCAGACTTATGTAATCTGTGCTTGCTAAACAAAGTTTGAAACATCTAAACACCCCCTGAATGTTCATCTAAATATTCTGATAATTCGATTCTCCTTTCAGAGAATAAAGATAAAACAACCCAGACACCACCAATTTAGCTAGTTTCTGTTGATTATTAGGGCTTGGGCTTAAGAAGACACTAGCTGTGTCTGAAACCGCTCACTCGTTCACTCATTCACTACTCCCTATATAGTGTATGGCATTTGAGTGCACTATATCTGCAAGGAATGAACGAGATGAAGTGAGTGAATTCGGACGCTGACGTTTACACTGTGCGTCGGAGAGTTGGAGCTGTCGCAGTAAAGGCTTCGTCACGCGTACTGATAAAACTCATTTTATCTTACATTACCTACTTTATAAAATAATATTAACAACAATAACAATCATAATGACTTTATTTTGTAATTATATACCTCCATGCCAGCTTTGTAGTTTCATCGACTGAAATTGTAACTCTCACGTTCACAGATGACGTGTCGTCGAGCGCCCTCCGGCGACCGTTATTCAATTCAAATGAATACGCATCTTAACGACTATTAACGGATATTTTTCAAATCCTCCACTGGATGTAATGTAATCTCTGGTTTAAACTTGCTCGCGCCGCACTTTCATGCGCGCTCAGTTCTCTCCGCATTGGATTGTGGGAAATAGGGCTTCAGCAAGTGTACATCGAATGTACACTCGAATTCAGAGAGGATTGTGGGTAAAAGTAGTGAATGAATGTAGGGAATGATGTTGTTCACTCAGAATTCGGACACCACTACAAAATGGCCGACACCCGATATAGTGCACTATATAGTGGATAGGGAGCAATTTCAGACACAGCTACTCTCTCCATCCATCTTGGCAAGAGCACAGAGGTATAGTGTGACAGGAGGAAAGTGTGTCACCTGAGATGTACTGTTGTTCACTTTGCAAATGGGTCACCTGGTAACTGCTCACTTTCCCCAAATAGATGAATGGACTGCTCTTGACTGCAGGATGCCACAAATACAGAGACAAATTAGTTAAATTAATACATTTCACCTCAAAGATGAAAATTGTGTGATCATTTACTCACCCTCA